AAATATTTGAGGGAAAGTCATAGCCAAACTTCAAAAGAGTTATATCTATAACTTTGTATTTTCTCAATTATTTTGCCATATTTGTAATAGCTTGTGTAAAATATTCTCATTTTTATCAATTGTACAAAATGGACTAGTTTATTGTGTTAGGATTTATGATATTAGTTTAACCTAGTGTTTAATTGATTTTAATATTTGCTCTTTAATATTAAGTTATTTATTTCATGTGTTTTTACTATCGTTATTATTACATTTTCATTTATATTGTCAATGAATGATTATGTTTAGTGCATTGTACATCATTCGAAGGAGGATTGTGCATTTTAGACCAAATAATAGAAAATCTATATTTGTGTGGAGGATAGAGATATATCCCTAACCCTAGATGACCAATGAGTTATTTTCATAGATATTTAATGCAATTGTTTGATTTTAATCAACATAGAAACATAATATATTAAACCAATAAATTAGGGTAAATTTCGCTCGAGAAAGGTAATTAACTAAAATTGGAAAATCGGGTCTAACATCGTAAATGAGTAATTTGTTAATTGGCATGTGAAGAAATTAATTAAGCGATGGTTAAGCAAAACCATGAATCCCAACCACATTTGCTTCCGAAAATTCCCAAGACTTTTATATTTTCTTATTTTGTAGGTTTTTAGTTAATTTCCTTATTTCAAAATCATATTTTTAATTGTGTATGTTTTTGTTTTTATTTTTATTGTTAGAGTTAAATCAATTAAAGTTATGTAATCGAAAATATACATTCCTCGAGGGACCGACAATCCAGACTCGAAGGATCCACTTTATTATTTGAACACGACCTTTGCACTTGCAGCATGCACTTTTAGCAAATACTTCACAAGTTTTATTAACTTTTCAATCATAAATTTTAAAAATTTTATCAAAATCTGCTAAAAATTTTATAACCCAAACCCTAACAAAATTCTAGGTGGAGTTCTCAGTTTATTCAGAATGTATCATCTTCATAATAGCACCTCACATACCTCATACATGCCATTTTATTGAAAAATTTAACTAAACATATCCATCGAGACTTACAGTGTAAGTGTAACTAAGGATAGGCAAAAGATCCCAAACCAACTGAACCAATATGTTAGATTCATCTCTACTTAAATTTTAAATGATTTTGATTCTTCGAAAGAGCCATCTAGTGTTAGGTTGATTCCAGTTCTCATCCTGAGAATTAAGAATCGATTTACACCCATTTTTCAATTATTGAGGTTGGTGCAAATAGAAAAATTAACCCATCTTTTCATTTTTGTTACACCATAATAAACTCAGCAATAAGTACAAAATGTCAAAACATAACGTCTAAGAGCTTTTTGATCCTATTTTAGCTCAAAATGCATTTTGAAATGGTATTTTAAACAAGGGCTCACTCTTCTTCAAACTTCAAAGCCCTGATTTGGTATTCAAGAGTTCGTTGTTCTACATTGAATGAGTCTTGTTATTTTGATTTTTAATGTGTAAAAATTTGCATTAATAATTTGAAATTTTTTGTTATAGAGCCAAACCAATCATGAACCAGTCGATTCAATTTTGATTTTTTTCTATTATTACATATGGAAACAATTAATGGCTCTATTATAAAATAATCGTTGATACGATTCGTCCAAACTATTTGATTCGGTATTCATCTGGTTCCATAATTATTGATGGAAGAAATGGTTCCATTATAAGACAAAACTAAATGAAATTTAAAGGATCAACTTGCAACCAAAACAATACTTGAGGACCAACATTTCAATTTTCAGTTTAATGAGATGTATAGCCCCGTAATTCATAGCATAGATGGCAAAACATATAATTGCTTATAAGTTGATCAACTCAATTTCTATACACTTGGCAACTTTTACTAACTTATTAACTTATTATCCACACATTTTATAAGATCTAATAAAATTTTTGCCAAATATGCCATCTAATGCATAAAATCCATGTTCTGAATTCAAGAATAAATATAAGACAACTAGAAACATCTCTATCATAAATTTATGTGTTAAACCAATTAATTTAGCAAGAGAAGAACCAAGAAAAACAACCCTAATTCCTCCCAACCCCCAACCCTTAAAAAGAAGGGAAAACAAGGTAGGATGAAACTACTATAAACGTGAGGGCCACGAGTCATAACAAGGTAGGATGCGCAAAGAAATTATGAGTTGTCATCGTCGCATAGTTGATGAAAATGGAGAGATAACTTTGGAACAGTTCAAAAAATGGTTGATGAGGTATGACAAGAACAAAGATGGGAAGAAAAGCCACGATGCCTTCCGCAAAGCCAAAGGAGATAGCTGGTTTAAGGGTATCAAGAGTGAATAAGCCATCTGGAAAGCCGATAGAAATGGCAATGGGGTTGTCGATGACGATGAAACCATTCACCTGGTAGATTTTGCTCTGGAAAAATTAGGTCTGAAAATTGTCTTGGTCCAAGTAGATAAACCTAGTTGTGTTTGTCAACAAAACAATGCATGTTTGTATGAACTATCTAGCTTGCTTATCTTAATGTATGATTGCAAAGTTTGCATGAAAACAGTTTGAAACTTTGTATTCTTCTATGTTATATATAAATAAACCAATTGTCAAGCTTATCGTTTTAGTCACTGAATTTGAAATTGTTTCAATTTTACAACTCAACTTAAAATTTTATATTTACTAAAAAGTTCATTCCCCAATTCAAATCAAAGCAATTGGATGGTCAACTCAGGCCGGTCAATAGAAATACCCTACCGTTGTCATATATTCCATACATCACACTAGATAGACATCATATTTATGGAATATGATTCACTTTCAAGAGTTCTTGATGGTGAAATGGTAGACATGTAAGACTCAAAATCTCATGCTAAAGAGTGTGGAGATTCGAGTCATCTTCAAGGCATAATATTGAGAATTCTCATTGAATAAGCATTTCAATAAGAGAGTTCGGATCAAGTCGATATATCAGTACCGATTCGATTAAATCGATTCGACCCAAGCTCTTAGAATTGGAATAAGTTTGATAGCAAATCACGAAGTTTTGATGATCTTCTCTATCTAATGAATAGAGAGTCTGCTTTAAAACCGTCCACCTACACCCATTCTCTAGTATATGCTTCAACGAGATCACACTAGGGTAGATTAGAAACCTCTAGTAAAATGGCCACCATAACCCAACAGATTTGACTGGATGGTATAGTCGTGAAAATACTTCCTTCTTCCATATTTTAGACCTTAACTCCTCGGAACAACATGTTACTGCTGAAACATGGAAGAATTGAAATATCTTGTATCAAAACACTATTTATGGAAGGCATGAACTGCCCGAATAAGAATTCTTAAATAGCGAACAACCAGTTCAAATATTCATGACTAAGAAGTACTAGATTCTCTTTCGGATAAGCCCTGAAAGGAGAAGGTTGGAATGCCAATAGGCGCCTATTATTGAATTCACCTTACCCCATAAGTACCCATTTTGGAAATGTCCAATGCCAAAGTCATTGAATGGGTAAGTTGCCAATCCCTGAACTATGTATTATGCTAGGTTCCAGGCAGATATTTTACTTGATATTTCTAACCTACCCTTGTGTAATTCATGTTGAAGCATATATTTGGGGGTGGGTGTAGGGCAAATGATTTTAACGCAAACTCCCAATTTATTGATAGAGAAGATCATCAAGATTTCATAATTCGTTGAAAACTAATAGACTTCCATTCCACTCGAGCTTTAATGGTCTCGGTGAAACATCGACAAATTCACTCATGATCAAGTTATAACATAAGATCTATGACCATATTATGTTAACTGTTTGTATTTCATTCGTTCCATTGGTATGCTCCCTGTTGCCCAGTAATGATCATACCCTCTGTTAAGTCTACTCTTTTTATGCCCCATTATCATGGCGTCTACATAGGAATGTGGCAAGCACTTTCAAGCAAGGGGAAGGGTTCGTGCTAAGTGCTTATATGTCATTGGATATTCGACCTAACATAGGTAATTTGCTTTCTTCAGCAGCATTGAATTATGTTCTTTCCCTTCTTTTTTAGGTTTTACATTTTTTCATTCAATATTATAGATTCGCATCCTTGTATTTAGGTTAATAAAATAACTTTGGATCTAGCATCGCTTAAATATTATACTTGAGTATCCTATTCACAGGGAATTAATAAATCGAGTTTTGAATCCCGATTTTATATACAATTTATATTTGTTGAAACAAAGCACATTGTATGCGCTAATGATGGGGAAAATCAGAATTTGCTTGGCAAATATGAAAAAACCGATGGATGAAGATCCGTAAGAAGAAAATCCTTCTATAATGAAGCCCCCCAAAAATTGGCTTGTCAATGACAAAATGTGGACATGAAGATTTAACATATATATATTTTTTCCAAGCTCATATTAAATATATATCGATCCCTTGAAATACGAGGCCATGATGCGTGAACATCCAACACATCGATTTATGGGCACATCACCTTAATCATCTGTCACATATGAATACGTCGTTCAAACTACCAATGGAATAGACATTTGTGATGTAACTAAAATTAGAAACTCGAGTGATCAAATAAAAAAAGTTAAAAGATAAATGACTAAAATGAAACTTCACAATAAATTGTGTGAACAACATTATAGTTTAACCTTTTATCATTATACGATGCTCCCTTATATATAAAGTAGATTCTAAAGAATCCTATAAGGCTACAACATCAGAATTTAGAACCATAATTCAAGATTCTATCTTTGGTGACCGGAGGAGGCAAGATTAGTAGAACCAAAATTCAAGAATATAACTTTCACCTACACAAGTAGGTCGTATTCTGCACTAACATTATTTCATCCACATAGTATACCCGTCTTTCAAATTTCTATGATGATAAAATGGTTGGTACCTAATAATCAGTTCAGAAAATGAGACACAAGTATTTGTCATAAAGTCGCGACAGAGAACAATAAAATGGTGTAGATTTAGGAAATAATCAAGTCGAAACAATGAAGTAATGAATTCCCATCGTGAATGTTAAGTGTTAATCTTCCTCGCTTTAGAAGGAAGATCAAATCGATTTTACACGAAATGATCAATGTCACTGAAATTTCTATCAAGATTGGAAAAATCCTTAAAGACTCTAGTCAAACTTTCCCTGTTGCATAAAATATACAATCGGCTGCATTTGGAAAACAAATACGTTACCTCTGATGTGTTATATATAGGAATCATAAATTCCTCAGAGGAAGGCTAGCTTTCCCGTCATACTATTCCTCATGCCATCTTCTAGTCTATAGAAACAAATGCGAAAGAAAAATATGCTATTGTGTTTTGGCTATTCACAAAAGGGTTCACTTGCCTACACAACTTATGGGAAACACAAGGGAATATAGATTTATCTTGTTGGACAAATTTTCTTTCCCAGTTACAATCAGCTTGAATACATACGTCAGCACTCGTTGAATGAATCTAAATGAAGGAAAGACTATTCACTTTCACTACTGTATCTAGACCCGTCTGGAAATACAAAAACACAAAACCAGTAAATAGGATTACATAATTTCACATATTTGCATGGAAGGCAGAAAAGGGAGACTTTGTGATACCTCCAGAAGGTCTTTTCCCTTCCATGGCTTCTTTCTTCTCCTGGCAGCTGGAGCAAAGGAAAGGACCGTTCCAAGGCCGCACTTTTCTAGAATCAGATGATCCAGCATGAACTGAAACACCTTCTCCAGGTTTTACCTCTACTTGGCAAACAGCACACACGAAGAGCTTAAATATATTGCAGATTGGGTACTTTGAATCCAACCTAAAATTCGGTACAAATACATAAAATCAGTGAAAAACCTAACTCTTTCTACTTCAGAGGTAGACATGAGATTCGAAAAATAAGAATTATTTAGATACAGCAAAGATTAACAATAGTCAAGATTTCAACATATGTCAATATTATTGTCAGAATCCACCTCCAAACATATTAGAAAGGTACACCTAGAACCATTCACACCTTTCTGAAAGTGCAGCTGATCCTTCCTCAAAGAGTTCCTCCAAGACATCTGGTTCGCAGTACTCTTCCTTGTCAATCTGAGATGATGACTCTGAAGATTTTTTTCGAAACATTGACTTGAAGACTCCTTTGCCTTGTTTCTTTGGTAGTGGTTGGGGAGGATTTGGTTTCTCTGGTAGTTGAATATCTACAACAATACATGTTGTATCATCTCGAAGTCCTTTTACGGATAAGGCTTCCTGAAAGAGATGAAAAAGAGTAAAATACGACTGAATTTTCAATAGCATCTCGATTGATATAAAGAACATATCAAGAAATAAAAACTACCTTGACAATTTGTGAAGCTGCGGCATCTACTGGCATCCCTCGAGCACACTCAAAAGCTGTTTCTGCAGATAATGCATCCCAAACACCATCACTTGAGATAATAAGCCTGCCACCGGCTGATGACAGCTGCAGATGATAAGATATTTGAAATTAATTTTAAAATCTGCTCCATAAACAATTGCTGACAAATTGCACAAAAGATAGCTCCATGATTCTTTAGTTTTTCCATGGAAAAGTACTAAAACAACCAGCAAAATCATCATCTTCTGATTCAGAAATGAATTAATTTCCTTGAACAATTTTACTAATCAAGCTAATTATGTTCTCCATTTCTTTCCGCGCGTGACAGCTGCTTTCATTTGTAAAATTTTTTGTACCCTCTCTAATCCATAATTAAATGTGTGGTGGTGTTAGCTGTTATAAGCTCAAAATATGAATGAAATAATTCAATAAAGGAATTCTACAATTCTTTTCATCTAGTAAATGAAATGAAAAGTCTTGGTTGCAAAGATTAATATTTCCATAGAAAAATGTAATGTTTTTATTAACAGTTGAGCTTCCATATTCATTCCCACAATCTATTTCAGATACAAGGATTATAATGAAGAAATCAAAAAAAAAAAAACTAGTCCCTTGTCAAAAATTAACTATTTATATAGATAATTCTTGCTGATACATAATATCATAGATTAATAGAGATAGCTTAAATTCCCAAAGTTACCATTCATGTAATAAGTACCGTTTATGATATTTTAGTTTAAAACTGCAATTTTTGTAAGGTATACTTCATATTGTAAAATATGTTCAAACAAATTCTACTCCAATTTGCATTTGTAAAAGAAAATGACACAAATGGAGTGTCAAGAGAAACAATGTAACTTTTCAAATCAGAATCAGAAAAATCATTGACGGTACAAGACAGAAAAGTTGTTTCAATACCAGAACTGAGTACTTGAAATTCAGCAAGCAAGATACAATTAGAAACAAACCTTTACTTGCTTTACATAAGGAATAGGAACTATGAATTCACCAACATCCATATCTCCGATAGATCGTGAAAGGCACAAGCCACCAGGCCAACATCTCAGGGGACCAATCTAAAGTGAAATCAGTGCAGTAATAAGATTCTAAGATTACCCAAAACCCCAAGAAACAAAAGTTCAAGAGAATTTATGCTTTTAGAAACCACCATATAGGACTTCTCATCCCTTTTCAAAGAAATGGAAAACATATTTGCTGCCTCCTCTGTTTACAATTTGAATGATATGGTTTGACTTACACAATCGCATGGACAGTTTCCGACAGCTATTCTTATATAAATTTAAATAATTTTAAAAAATAATAATAAAATAAAATTCTTAAATAGCTGTGTAATATATCATATATTTATCATTTCCTTTACAACAAGGTAAATAAATTACAAAAAGGCACGTTACAAAAATCATCCAGCGGATAGAAGAAGTTTAAATAAAAACAAAAAAAATGTCATTCAATTATAGAAGAGAGAACTCCCAGTGCAACATCTACCCAACAGAAATATGTGATTTACTTTTAAAACTTTACAAATTTGTTATATGTAAAACACGCAACTCCAAAAATATTTACTGTTCAATTTCAAGTTCCATCTTCCCCTATGAGGAGATAAATGCACAGTAGGCAATCATAAAAAGCAGTTTTATATCCTTAATTTATAGTTTGGTACTATGTAATTGGCATCAAATCCTACGATTCCATTATTTAGTAATGCTTATGATCTGTTGTGCTTTGTGCTACAATAAGGAAGCCCCTTAAGAGGTGAGACAAAGATACCTCTGTGCCACCACCAGTATTAAGCCGGCCAACCTCACCTCCACTTGATGTTATACGTTCCCTCCTGTTTAACCAATAAATAAAGAATCAGACCTTACTGTTAAAGGTTTCCAGGTCATACATCAGATAATAAAATATTACTTACTCTTCTTCATTGCATTCAAGTCTATGATCTGCTGAGAGATAATATATTCCCCCTTCGGCAGATTCGAGTACGCAACGAGAATCACCAACTGAAGCAACAGTTACCACCCATCCATCAATTATTACAAAGGTGACTGTGGTTCCAGAAGTTTGCGCTGACACAGTCCCAGAAAAATATCAGAATCTAATTTGCATTTAACAGTGAGAGAGCCAGACAATTTTTGTACTATGACTAGAAGCAAGAAGATCGAGGTAACTACAAACTACAGGTGTTAATTAAATTCAATCAGTATTCTTAAAAATTCCAAGTAGAGTAAACACTGTAATGCCATCAATTTTGAAGATGCAATAAAAAATTAACTAAAGCTACTTGTGTAATGAAGCAATCACAGATATGTGTAAGCATCTATCATAGATCTGTAGAACTTAATCCTTTTTAATTTTAAAACAAAAATAAAATTATAACATGTCTGACTCTTTAACCAAACACATGACATTTAAGAACCTGTATAATTTCATTTGCCTATATTCAGATTGTTGCATCAAAAAATTGATTGTATTAGCTTAAACCTTAAATTATATTTGAAATGAATTTCAAGAATCTTTGGAGTCAGGAAATAGACTTGTTTTTTGTTTTTGCACTCCAATGGTAATTTTTGTACGTAACTATGGACTAACCACGTGGAGATGATGGAAGATTAAGACTAATTGAGTCACTGCTAAAACTTCATCAAACACACCAAGACAGCAATTTGCCAAAATCGATATTTTAACATTTAAAGATCAAAAGACTCTAGCAATAGAAATCTTAATGATCTGCAAAATATTTTCTTAACCCTCTCCCTAAACCAATGTCCCTTTCCATTTCAATCATCAATCTGCAAATGAGATCCTGAAACCATTATTTAGCCGTAATTTTGATAAAAGTTGATGATATGTGTGGTTTAAAAGTTGTGGGTCCCGTGAAATGTGTGGTTGAAAATGAGTTCAAGGAAAAATGAATTGTAAAATATGGGGACCAAATAGGGGCTTAGTTTTTTCTAGGCAAAATGTGGTAAAATACTTAAAAATTGTTGAACTGAATGATGAACTGACAAAATATAATTCATTTTTTTAGAAATATCTTTTAGTTTCAATCAGAACTTCAATCTAATATTGAGAATGAGTAGTCTACTGTATGTACTGCAATTATAATGCTATGTTTAAGTGAATTGAACCAGAACTATTTCTACCTCTTTCTTGGAAATCTTTATCTGTTTTGACAAACCCAGCAACCAAAGCCCTTGGCAATGCAGCAACCCACTCATCCCTGTTAAGGTCTGGTGGAATAGCGCCCAAGACATTGTTCAAGAGATTCTCCTTGGAATATATAGCAGCTGCAGATCCATTGTGACCATCGAATAACTGCAGATACATCAGAAAAAATACAATGTATAAGAAAAGAAGCGAAGGATTTAATGTAAATGTAACTAGTACAAAAATAAAATTTTCCAACATTTGGTTTCCAGCAACGAGCAATTACATTGATTCCTCACACATTTCAACATTAATTGTTCAATGTGTATATAATGCAAAATGTAAATGTGTCCATTGTGGGTGTCATCCCAGTATTACATATTAAAGCTATAACCAAATCAATGGTTCCTGTGAAACAAAATTCAATGCACAGAAAAATGATTAACGAGAAAGAGAAGCTCTTCTCGATCCACAACAACAATACTAAAATTATTGTTGTATCAAGACGATGATAATAGCATCCAGTCTGAGCACGACTAACATGATAGAAAATGCTAAAATCCAGGAAAAGCTGAAGTTCCACAGCTACAAATAGCAAACTACAATGAAAAATAGAATAATAAACAAAGAGAAGAACAATAGGATCATACCCCAAAAACAGAATAAGTGGTGACTCCATCACCCAGGACCCGTTGGCATTCAGTCTTGAGGAACGTAAAGTCCTCACCTTTCTTGCTCTGGCTGGCCTGCCCGTGCAAAATCTCAGGATTCTCGAGCTTCTCATTAGCCAATTCCCGCTTTAACAACACCGATAATGGGACCGTCTGATGGTCACCACTCTTAGACAACATTGCTTCCTGTCCAACACCACAAAAACGATAATTTTCTCTCTTTGCACAAGATTCAGAAAATCCAGTCCATTACATATTCAATCCGCCAATTTCTTGTTGTAGTTGCTGCTAATCGATTCAATCAAGACAAATCCAATAACTCCTATACATACAAACACAATATAAAAATGGAAGAACAAATCAACATCTCAATACAAACAAAATAAACCAAAACAAATAGAACAAGGAATTCAATTTAATTTGACTCATATTTATATCAAAAAAACATGAGCAAGAATACAATCAAGATCCTCTCAATTTATAACAGATAAGGAACACTTGTTCAACCCATAAAACAACATTACTTATCTACGTTAATAAAACGAAATCTGATCTCAGCATAATGTGGATAAACAAAAGTTGTAACGGATAAAGGGCTCAATCTAAAATTGAGAAAAAAGAATCCAGAAAATAGAGAATAAACTTACAATTTATTAAAACTGGCGAAAATGGTCTTTTAGTGCAATCATCGAAAATCGAAACACGCCGTTCTGGGTCTGGGTTTCAACGCTGCAAAAAAGAATAAATATAAAAAATAAAAAACATTTGTCCTACGTTTTTGTCTATTGAGAGGAGAGGAGAAAGAGTGTTAATATTAGAGAGAGAGACGGATGTATAATGAAATGAAGGCTGTTTTTCTTTCTTGTTGTTTAATGCTATTTTCGGAGAATATAATTTTATTCGTGGATTTATGTTGTGTTCCTGTTTGTTACTTTTCGTGTGTTGTGTGACAATTTGACCTCCATTTTGCATTTTCAGAAAGTTGGAATCTGAGCTGTAAAAAGGTTGTGCTCCTCTCCTCTCCTCTTTCTAACTTCATCGTGGGCTCCACCATTTCATCCATTAAGGCAGCCAGCCCGAACAACTGTAGTTTACACAAAAATGTTTGTGTGACTTTCGAGTTATGGAGCAAATGAGTGTGTATACAGAAATTTCGTCGATAACAACAAATGATATTTAGCTGAAATTAACGTTGGTGACTCGACTCCAGGCAGTATTATTAACAACAATTCTTACTATTATTATCAATACATTTTTATCGATGATCATCAACGATAACGTCAACAGCACCAACATGACTTTATGCTTTCTAATTTTTAACTTTTTTTATTAGTATTGATATTCAAGTTCAAAATATCTTATATTTTCCTTTGTTATTTTTATCCGAAAAGCCGTCCGTATTCTTAAATTATATATTAGTTAGTAGAGAATTTTCTATAAATTGAATTTATTAAAATATTTTTTTTAATAATCAATAATGAAAAGACTAATTCTCATGAAATTTTTTAAAACTTGAGAGTCTCACCTAATTTGGGGTCTAAATTTCTTAGATGTAAATATCATTACTCTTTCTTCTGATTGATATTACTGAATAACGTCCATACTTACGTAAGTAGACTCCTGATGATATTTAAATTCTCATTAACATTTTAGAACTACAATAAACCAACACTTCTAGACTTAGTGCTTGTTTGGTCGCGATTTTAAGTCAATTAAAATTATTTTTTGATTGTTATTTCATTATTTCAGTCGTCATTTTTGAATTCTTCTCTCACGGTAAGATTCATTTTATCTCTAACGATGAAAAAATCAATTCTCAAAATTCATACGAAACAAACACTTAGTTATCACAATAACTTGTATTGAAGTTTTTGCCACCTTTTTTTCCCCATAATTCGTGATATGATTATGAATAGACTAGTAATGAAAAAGATAAATTGGGCCCAACCAATCCACATTATAAATTAAGCAGACTTTAGTCGGCCAATCAAAAATTCATAATTTGCATGCTACTTTTTCATTCCCATGGTTAACGTGGACGATGCTCATCAAACCCAAAAGAATCTCTATGTTGTCTTGGAATATTTGCAAAAACAGTCCTCAAATTTTCACAAATGAAGTATGAAAGTATCTTATAATTTTTCATTGATGTTTACGTCCCTAAAATTTTATCTTCAATGTACATTGGTCTTTATTACATCATGGAGATCATTCTTCCTACCAATGAAATTGACAAATTATTTGACCAAAAATCGTAACCCTTAATTTAAATTAATTTAATGGTCAAGATCTATTAAAACATTTAATTGGACGTGTGTAAATTGATTTTATAAGACTTTTAATAAATCTAAATTAAATGAACTCGTCAAATTCCTTGATAGGAGGAACGTCTCCTTAATAATATCTATTTATTTTTCTATTCAGCATCGCATGTGATGACCTATTTAACGGTGGGGTGGATGTATAGAGGAGGAAGACAATGTGCATCTGGTGGTGAAGTGAGTCTAATTGCATATTCTATGTTCCTGGGTCCAGCTAATGTTCCAGCTGTAGACAGACAACCTGGCCATCATTACGGTATATTCAAGTCCCACAAAGTCAAAAAGTTAATTTTTACGTCGTGGGTGGAAAATGGGACAATCTGTGTCGAGCCACTCTGCTTGATCTCGGCTAGCCATTCGTTGCGGTCGCCTGTTGGTGAGTCGAGCATGAGTTGGATCTCTTTACTGAAGTGTGACTCGATGGTGATTTGAATCCTTCTCCTTCCGATTTTCGTTTGGTTTTTAGAAAAATTAATGCATGCTTACCATTGATTCCGATTGACTATTGGGTAAATTGGCTTAATATGAAAAGTGCTTGAATTATATTGAAAATTGAGAAGGGGTGCTCTCCTATCTTTTGGTCAAGAAAGCAGCACAACCAGAGGGTAGCAACTGTTTGAGCCCCTTAAAAAATAAGGAAAACTTTTGAGTTTGCATGTTATTTTATTAAAGAATGTGTTATTGCAAAAAAAATAGTAAAAAAAAAATGTATTTTGAAAATAATGAGATCATCACATGAACTGCCCGCACATAAGCCAGTGAATCTGCAAACCTACTCATGTGAGATGACTAGCAGTTGCACAAGAAATTTGCTGCTCGGCTCGCGCCTGCAACTCACCCCTCTTAACACCACTATGTTTTGCACTATTATTTTCAGGATTATTCTACTTCCCCAAGCATCACCCTTATTTTCAACATTTGTTTCTTCACAACTAGGACTGGAAGAGTTATAAAATTCTAAAATAATAAGAGTGATTGATTACATTTCCCACTAAATATCACACATCAACTTCATTGTTCTATTGTTTGCAACTAAACCTAGCTAGATCGGTCTGTCTTCCTAACGGATGAACAAAAGTTACAAATACATTTTTCTGCCTGTAAAATGTAAAAAAGAAAGATTGTTATGACAGACAGCTACAAATAAATATGCATACAAGTTTTATTGCAGTTTACCTCAATCATTTCTTTTTAACATCTGCACTCTCTTCAGAACCCTTCACCCTGATAATGAACACCTAACGTAGAAAAACGCAATAAAACAAGAGAGTAAAGAGTTGCATAATCTTGGAAGATGTCTCCATTGAGTAAGTAAATATATCATCTTAAGCAATTGCTGAACAAGTCACCTTAAGTACTGTTGGTCGAATTAACTGGAAAACAAGTGCATCCCCATCCACAAGGTCATGATCGACAGAAAATTTTTTCCACCCACCACTAAGTCCTGATTTTCGAGCCAAGTAGATCACTGGCCACTCTTCTCCCTGTTCATCTATCAGTGTAACCACTCCATCATTTCTTGGAAGTTTTCTCTTGCAGAAATCTGATGAAAGACCCTACAATATTTCTCAGTCATGTGGATAATTATGGTTACTATTTTTACTTAAATCATATGTGATTCAAAAAATGTACCAAAATCATTCTTGTGAACGTATCGTATGCCAATTTCGATATGATTTAAAGGTAAGGCCTAAGCATTACTGCAACCTAATCTAAAGGGAATATATTTGAAAATGTTCACTACGAAAACAGAGTAAAGTAATCTACTGATGCTCACCAGCCAAAAACCACCAGTGACATGGGAGGGAAGCATTGACTTCACAAAGGATGGATAATCAGACACCAGGCTTGACTCAAGCTCCTCTGCTTTCTTCATAGCACATTCCCTATCTTCATCTGTTGCATATACCCGGTTCGAGAGGTCCCGAGTCCGATTGGTAACTCTACAAATGCATTACACCAATAAAGAACAATGTTCCACACAATAATTGCACTATTGAAAACTTAAATTAAAAACAATTTGCAACGATTTTACCTTCTAGGAATTTGCACACGGTCATAAAAAGTAACCTGGCAGAGTTACAAAATTTACTGATTTAAAGGTGGGCTTTTTTGAAATCAAACAAAAAGACTAAAAGGAGAGTCACGGTACTTCTTTATAATGCGGGGCCGATTTGTTGGAAAACCTTTCTGATCTTCTTACAGGAACAATTTCTGTTCTGGGTGTCCGAGGTTTCGACTTCTTCATCTTTGAGATATACGAAGCAAATAAATGGGTTTTCAATTTAATAAACAAAATACAAACGTCATTGCCAAATAACGAAAAATAAATAGAACTCGTAAAAGTGCACGAAAGAGAGATACCGGTGAGGGTTTCGGAGAAGAGGAGTTTTTGAGGGCTATAGAGAGCTGAGAGAGATTGAGTTCCTCAAGTCTTTTCTTGTTCTCTTCCAATCTTTGCTCGCGTAAGACCTCATATTTCACTTTGGACATCACCATTTCTGCCTTTGTCCTTTCGATTCTGTAGATTTAAAGAGAGTTGGAGAGGGTTGGGGGAAGACTAAATCTTCACTTCTCCTTTAGCATGTTAAAATATACTCTTGGAGGCAATTTTGACCGTTGCAATGCCACTTTTGAATTGACAAAAAAAAAAAAAAAAAATGCCTTTTTAATAGGCATAAGCTAACATTTAGGAATATGAAATAACACTTAATGGGTTTTAAAAATGAGTAATGTTATTTGTAATCATTCATCAGGAAAGTCATCTTACGTGACATACATATGATAGATTATTATTTGATGTACACACATTATAGACGGTTATTTGATATATTAATGTGCTAATTTTTTATTGACTCATGTATCAAATGACCACCAAATAAGAAATTTAAAATATGTGAAATCATGAATTTAACAATTTAGTAATTTTCATATATTAAAGGTTATGTTGAAGGAGATATTTAAAATGGGCTTTAAATAATTGCCAATGAGAAATTTAACCATTGTTTGATTGTGTTAAAAAGTATATTTTTAGTGGATTTTAATAAAAGTTGAAAAAATTGGTAAAAGTTGTAAATTCCAAAAAATGTGTAATTAAAATTAATTATTGATTTTGATTTAGATTTTTATCAATTTTTTCATTTAAACCAAACATGGTTTCACGGACAACATGTTTGGCTCCCAAGGTTCCACACCTCACTTCCCCTCATTCTTAGGTCAACAAGCGAGAGGAACTGGCACACGCACAGTATAAATGGAATGATAGAAAAATATATCATTAGTGTACTCTTTGGTAAAATAGGACACACATTTAGTTGTTGGCAACCTTGTCATGCCGAATGGGTAGATAAGCATTCTCACTACGTGAGATTCTCCCCATTCAAATTCACTTACTCCCTCGTAGAGGGAACTAAGCTTCGCATCAACAATCATCCCTCTCATTGGAAGAAGAACAACGACACCATCTCCATATGGATGAGTATTCACAGAGTGCTCCCTCGCACATCAACCTACAGTAACTTGTACATACCACATTTGACACCAACCTTCACCATATGCCACCATAAACATTAGTCCATCGAATGGACTACCTTTAGCTACAATGCCTCAACACCCGTCGAAGCAAATACGCAATCTTCACCACTGTGCCATGCAAATGTGCACTCTACGAAACTCCTTGCAAGGCTCATAGGCACATTCGCGCAATACCTACCCTTTTCATTCATCTTCTCCCACATCTTCCCTCATCGTGTTACACCAACTTGCCGACATGATCCGTCCCTAAAATCTTTTCTCTGCAAGAATGTGCATTGTTGATCTCTCACAACCAACATGCACATTCGAGCAATCCCACTCTAATACCAACTTTCACGAACTGTGGGTTTGGCTCCCGAGATTCTACACCTCAAGGTATCCTTCCCCACATTCTTAGGTCGGCAAGCTCAAACAATTGGCACACACGCACACTATAATTAGGATGTTAGGAGAATACCTGCATACGATCATATAATTACTGCACTCTTTGGTAAAATAGGCCACATGCCTAGCTATTATCAACCTTGTCATGCTGAATGGGGAGATGAGTATTGTCACTGCGTGATACATGGGCTTAGTTCAATATCTTTAATGAGATTAAATCCCCACTTGACAACCATTATTTCAAAACTCTTTATTCTACCTACTCAGTTTTAACCATACGTTCACAAAATATATTTAAAACATTGATTTTAACAAGTAGTGGCATCAAATAGGGGCTATTTATTAACTTTCACAATATCTTTCATTGATCATTATACTTTTACAATGTTTCTATAAAATGGATGACTAAACCTAGAGGGTTTGATAAATTCAGTGGCTAATTAGAAACGTTTTAAAGTTCAGTTACCAATAAAAAGATATTGTGAAAGTTAAAATGATTATTGGTGCATTTTTAGGCCCTTTGTATCAATCAAAAACTTCAAACTCACTTTCAATTCTGCCAAGCTAATTACGAAAATTTATGCTAAGTTGGAAGTGTGAAGTATATTTCAGCATCTATTTATATAAGGAATAGGTTACAAGAAAAGCAAAATGTTGATTAGAGAAACAAATCCCACAATCAATGGGATTATCCAACAAAGTAGCACTACAATCATAGATCCAATCTATACACTTCTCACTGACGGAAAATAATTACTTATTTGAAATTAAATCTGTCTTTGTTGATGTCTATTGTCCATTTATCCATCATATTCATCAGAGAGGAAGAATTAGAATTCCGATTCTACGCAGAGATGCCTCTTTGAGACCGTAAGTATGGTGCATCATGTAAAGATTAATGATACGTTGAGATGGAACAGTAAGCCGCATAATATAGAATGTTAAAAGAGAATATACAAGGATCACAATTTACTTATCAACTTTAAACCAGCAATGCAAAATTCAGATCAGCATCCTAATATTTAATCAAACCCAAATTCTTTAACCAGGGAAGCATTTCTGTTAGACCATCCTTGAAGCTTCTCGGGTTATAACCCAGCTCTGCCTTGGCCTTCTCACAACTGTAAGCCCACTGATGTCTCAGAACATCAACAGTCTGTTCAACAGAGCTGAAATAGATCAAAAGATGCCAAAGCTATGGCCTAAATGGAAAGCATAGAAGCCAGAAAACAAATCATAAACGTGACATCATTTACTACAATCTTAATATTTTTAGAGAGCTGAGGATCATGAAAATCGTACATACATAAAATGCTAGAATTAAGATTTAAAAATTGATGGTCAAATTCTCGTAGAAGTAACACTAGATCGTATGTTCAATTTGTTCCAGGAGTAACGCCAATGGACATGTTAACAACCTATTCCCATAATGATAGAATATAGTGTGGAAACTAAAGTAGTTCCAACCTTTATATCAGCCTCAAGTTTCCTATATTTCATAAAGATATATGTGGCAAAAGTATTTACACGAACGCTACAGGAGTCCAAATGATTGAATATGTATTACACAAGTAACATGAAGATTTCTCGTTCTACCAAGTGTAAAGCAAGCCAAAAAAAAAGGGTATCAGAATCATCACTGATCTCAAGGTTTGAAATAGCCTCTATCGTTTATTGAGTATATGTTAAAGTCTTCCTCTGAGATTCATTGCACAGTAGCAAGAGAACTAATGAAAGCAGTAAAGCAATCTTTATAAGCGACAAAAGATAGATAACCTCAAGCTTTTAGAACATCTCCAAGAGACTCTTTAAACACAAAATACTCTCTATTTTAGAAAGTCAATACTTAAAAATGGGCTCCAAGAGTTTCTATTTTAACTTTTTAAGATAGAGAGTCTTTTAGAGATGATATAACCATTAGTTATTGCATTGTAGATATAATCAAAATTTTACTAGATCAAAGAATTTCAAATGCAGAGAGTATCAAAATTTGGTAGTGGTAGTAAAAACCAGTTTCTTGACAGAAATTGCTGTAGTACATACCGGGGGACTGACTATAGGAAGCTTTCCAGTTATTCGGGCACCGATAACAGATAGACGTCCATACATCTCAACCATACACAGTGGGATGGTGAACCGAGGTTTTGCCGTCTTAGTGATGCTAGCGGCTAAATCAAAAACATCTCTGAATGACATATTTTCTCCTGTGAGAAGATACCTTTCACCTGGTCGACCTTTGTGCACTGCAGCAATGTGTCCCTGAACTACATCATCGATGTGACAGAAAGAGCACTTGTCATCTCCATTTCCCACATATCCAGGTAATCGCCCATTAAAGCGTTCTACGAGCTGATAGAAAGAAGATACACACGGTCAATTCATAGACTTCGATGAAATATGAAGTAGATGCATACCAGGGATGATCATGAAGTCCCATTACATTCTATTAGTCCCCATTAAAGTTTAACCAACATTCACATCAACATATAAGCAGAAGAACAAGTAGATGCATACGGGAAACGAGATACATCAATGCATTATATCAAAGATTTTGTAGTTATTTAAATGAGATCATGCCCAAACCAACTATAGAAATCATTTTGTATAATTAAAGTATGAATTCAAGAATATAGTTAGTAAAACGTCCAACTGATAATTACACTACTAATGTTGAGGGTAAAATCCCACGTCCGTTAAATATGAAAATATTAACCGACATAACGGCTCTAGTTACTCCTCTAAACGACGTTGACCTTTGAAGATGGAAGCCATTACTCTAAACCTACTCCTTCATAAACAGTAATTGAACTCTGCAGACCACATTTTGATCAGTTAGAGCTATCAATCCAGATCAACTAATCATTCTAGAAATTTACCATTTGCGATACAAAATTTCCATTCGTCACTTTGCCAGGACCATATATAACTCCTGGGTAAATCAGCACTATTGGCAAACCCTCAGATGCAGCTTCCAAAGCAATTTTGTCAGCCATGGCCTTCGATCTTTCGTACTCCGTACAGAAATGTTTACCAGGGTGCACCTATGCAACACCAAAAATCTGAACAAACCCAAATAGAAAAGAAAAAAATGGAGGAACAAAAGTCAACTAATCGAGATATAAATTAAATTTTAAACAGACTATGATTATACCTGAGTTTCATCTGCAATATACCCATCAGTGGATCCCAAAGCGAAAAACGACGATGTATAAATAATCTTCTGAATTGATTTTGTCTCTTTACATGCCTGTATAACATTCTTCAATCCTCCCACATTAACCTGTAATTATCAACCACAAACCAATAAAAACTCAACTTTGAATAAATCTAATCAAATCAGGGCTTAATTTTATTTATGCAATTCTAAAGATGGATTACTGAGAAGAATTTCGAGGGGTCAGGAAGCCAGGGCTCGACGAGGGCAGCAGCATGGAAGATTAACTGGCAACCATTGCAAGCTTCCAACAGGGTCTTATAATCGGTAACATCTCCATAAGCCAGCTCAAGAGTTTCGCCACCGTCAGTGAGCGGAGGTAAGGAGGATATGTTACTGGTCTTGCGGACAAAAGCCTTAACGTGGTAGCCTTGATCGACGAGGGCATGGCAGAGCCTACCGCCTAAGTAGCCGGAAGCACCTGTCACCAATACAGTATCCTTCATGATGAAATCTGGGTTTGTCAACCATTGGCCCTCTCAATTCAGTTCTTAATGAACTGATGTAATTTTTTATGTGGCACGAGCTGCACGAGTCTTAAAATAAAATATGAAATTATCACAAGTTTGATACTTTTAAGGAAGTTAGATGTACCCTACTTGCTGCAACTTGACGAAATGCCGAGGTTCGTACGAAATGGCCTTAGATGATGATGACTTCTTGTCTCTTTCGCCTTTAAGAAAAGGGAATGGAACTCTCGACCCAACAATGTTTGGCAAAATTTAAATTATAATCTAAATTGATCGAGTATACTTTTTACTTACATATTATTAAACTTCACGATTCGTAATTTATAAACACTGAAAAGAACCGTCAAAGAGTTAATTTAACCAATGCTCACTGAATTTTAAACTTGGTTACTACTTGCTCACTCATCTTTCACGAGTTACTGAATGCTCACTCATCTCTCCATATAATTACTCATCCACCACTCGTTTCTTCAAATAATTGGGCGACTTTTACGACAACTTTTCGATAACTTCCGACCACCAAGAATGTCGAATTTTGATACCGTTGGAAAGCTCACGATATCCTCTTCAATTACCACCCAAAATCTCCCTATAACTCCAAAGGATTCAATCGGAAAATTGCCTTAAAAGTCGCCCAAAAAATCTGAAAATATGTCCAGATTTTCAAGTTTTTTGGGCGACTTTTAAAACAATTTCCGACCACCAAAACTGCAGGATTTTGATACTGTTGAAAAGTCCACAATGTCCTCTTCAATTAACACCCAAAATTTCTCCACAACTCCAAAGGATTCTATCGGAATAAACCCACAAAATCAGCATCCCGAAAAGGCGAAAATCGAGACAGAGTTCTAGATTGTGACTTTGTGAGTTTATTCCGATCGAATCTTTTGGAGTTATGGGGAAATTTTGGGTGGTAATTGAAGAGGACATTGTGAGCTTTTCAACGGCATCAAAATTCAACAGTTTTGATGGTCGGAAGTTGTCGAAAAATTATCTTAAAAGTCGCCCAAAAAATCTGAAAATCTGGGCAGATTTTCCGAATTTTTGGGCGATTTTTAAGGCATTTTTTCGACCGAATCCCTTGGAGTTATAGGAAGATTTTGGATGGTAATTGAAGAGGACATCGTTGTCTTTCCAACGATATCAAAATTCGACATTTTTAGTGGTCGGAAGTTATCGAAAAGTTGCCGCAAAAGTCGTCCAATTATTTGAAAAGACGAGTGATGAATGAGTAACTATATGGAAAGATGAGTAAGCATTCAGTAGCCCGTAAAAGATGAGTGGGCAAATAGTAACCAAGTTTAAACTTTAGTGTGAGCATTGGTTAAATTTACTTAACCGTCAAACAAGCTCTGAATAAAGAGGAAATTACATGAAATGTCCACTTTCACATGTCTATTTGCAAAAATGTCCACTTTCACAAATCCTTGCAAAAATATCCATTTTGAAATATTTTGGACCAAAATACCTCTGTGAACAATTTATGATTCCACACAAAGACAAAAAATGAACATTTTTGCAAAAATTTTATTAAGCCAATAAATTTTTGACACATTACCTACCATATTTATTTCAAAAGTGCACATGTCAAATCACAATTAATGATAATTTTCTCATTGACACAGAAACGTCAAGAATTACATTTCAAGTGTAGAGAAATGTTAAGTTCGAAATGAAATGTCATTCTAGATATTTAAAATGTCGAGAACAACGTTTGAATTGTCGAGAACATTTAATATTTTGATTTGACATGTGTACTTTTGAAATATAAATGAGATTTAAATATCGAGAATGACATTTGAAATGTCGATAACATCATTTTAATGTATCTTCTCATGGAAGTTCTTCTCGAAATTCGCAACAAATTGAAAAAATAAATAAATTGCTTTTTAAGGGCATAATAGACAGTTTAGTGCTAAATTTAAAAAGTTGACATTTTTCAATTAACACCCATAAAATTAGACATTTTTGAAAATACCTCCAGAATAAAAGAGACTTAACATTATAGACCGCAAGGGTCTCTAAGCCAATATCCATCCTATATGTGTGTGTATATGTATATGTGCGTGCGCACACTGCACTATAGGAATCTCGGCATGAAAAGAAATCCGCATCAATACTTTCTAGACTTCCATTTTAAATATCCATCATGAAATTTCCTCATAAATTAACTCCATTGCATACTCTCTTTTCAAGCTCTACTTTGTGTTCGTGTTAAGGAAAAGGAGCAACAATAGAGGGAAGCTACACTTAAATTTCCATTTCTAATACAGTAAATATTATTCTATACGATCTTATGTTACAGAGTTGCCAATATAGCTGTACATTTGGCAATTTCCATTAAAAGAAAAGATCTGAGTGTTGTTATTGTTTTAACAAACAGCAGATGGAGAATTTCTCGTGCAGCTTCTTATTGTCATCTCAATTATTTTGTTGCCCAAGATTCTGTAGAGAATGCCAAGCAGTGTGTCCAAACATTGCAGACGTCCCTGCATGGCTGCCTAAGCCCATAAGCAAGCTATACAAGTTGATAATCAGCTGAACCATTATAATCTTGAGCGGCGAATGCATTTCAGATTGAAGGGAGAATGTCTTCGCCCAGAGACACATGGTGCCCTTCTCGAGGAGAAAGAAGATTTTAGATCCCAGTCTTCGACATTCTTTGGGACACATTCATCGAAGAGGAATTGACCAAGAACTCCATGGGCACTGATTTTTGGTGGGCTCGATAGATGTACATAACGATCTTTATGTTCATCCTGCACAGAACCACCGCCTCTATCCTCATAATACTCTATAGAACTGGGTACAAGAAAATGGTCATTCAAGTCGCGTGGAATAATCTGGAAGCTGTGATTTGACCCTGCCGCTGCTTTTTTCAGATTACCAAATGGTTCAGATATCTCATAATGTGTGCCTTCCAAGCCCATCTTCTCCCCTTCAAGCTGCCGTATTCTTTGGGAATAAATTGCAGATGCTTTTACAAGTAGTTCAGTCACAGCAGCCTTGTATTCAACAGGGAATTGTCGAAAATGACCTGTTTAATGCGACACGTGAGAAGCATCCTATCAAGAATACATTTAAAACAAATGGTTAACAACATAAGAAAAGCCATTATGTTACAGCGGACTAGTTATCAATAAAAACCAAAAAACTACAATAGAAAAATATTGGAAGGTAACCGCAACTTATCGTGCGAGGTTTTGTTGTTGATCCACAAGTGCGAGATGCAGACCGCCAATATCTGACACCTTAGGGGTTAGTTTTTTGCCTTTCTTCCTTAAACTATCAGAGTACTGCTAGAAAAATTCTAGCAGTGAGGATAGACTTCCATAATGGCTTTTAAGTAGTTTTTTGTAGGATACACAATGCTTAATCCAAACCAGGTCGGTTTCCTCTCCATACCTACAGGTACAAGTCCACCTGTAGGTGGGCAGATATCAAATCCCATGAGTCCAACCCCATGTTATCCAGGTGTGATATCATTTAAATATTGTCTTCGACAATTCTTTTGGCATTTGGGCCCTCAACCTTCTACTTTCCTAGCAAAAAGGTCCTCCTGGATTTTTTTTTGTTCAAATTAAGCATCAAAATCCTTTGATTTGTCATCACATTCAATTCAGAAAATAAATAAATATTATAAAGAAAATATATAACAAAAAAAAAAATACCAGATTTCTTGCATTGACATGGCTATGCATTTACGTGACAGGCAGTGTCATTACATTGCTGTGAATGATTAGCTCTTTTTTTATTTTTATGGTGTTTTTTTTTTTTTTTTTTTTTTTTTTTTTTTTTTTTTTTTTTTTTTTTTTTTTTTTGGCAACATTGTCTTTGCACTCAATTTTAAGCTTTTTCGCTATTTCGCTAAACTGTTCTTGTGAACAAAGCTTATTTAGGTCTATGCAAGACATATCCCAAACTCTCTCTTTTGACCTGGTCAATTGAAATCGCATCACTCTTACAAATAAAAGCTTCTTTGGTCTACGCCAAACATGCCCTGCCGACTTAAGTCATCATTTCTTAATCAATTTCTATGGTCACCCAACCATATATTTTAACATCATCATTTCCATTGTGGATATTTTATTTTTCTATTACCCAACATTCAGTATCATAAACAATAACTAGCCCAATAATTGTTAGGTAAAAGCGATTTTAAGCTCACATAGATTTTCTTATCACATATTCCATGCAATACTTCTTCATTTCATCCAACCCAATCTAATTTTACGCAATACATCCTCCTTCAAGTTGTCATTCTTCGATAATAATCAAACCTAAATGCATAAGAAAATCACTCTTCAGGACAGAACAATCCTCTATATAGACACCACTATTATGCCTGTCCCTATCATTACCAAAAGGACGTTCCAAGTAGTCCATCTTAGTTCTACTTAAGCTAAAAACCTCTAGGTTCCAAAGTACTCCTGCAAAGTCTTAAATTATGCTTTATAAACATCCTAGTCTAATCTATTAAAACTACACCATCGGCCGCATTCATTACTAGAGCAAAAGGATAAGGTCTTAAGGCCGTACTTCGATGCAAGCATTTGGTGATACAGAATTCTGACCGCTATTGCCACTACATCTTATGCTAATGACTGCTGTCCCATACATAGCGCCTAAATAATATTGATAATGTTTAAATATTTTTATGGTGTTTAATTACTCAAATTTGACGACCCAATGAATTGGGTATTGGGAGTGAAAACAATAGACTTCCTAGGAGTGCAGGAAAATTTTGGTTTTCTGGTGAAAATTAGGTGGATTAAGCCAGCAATCTGAGTTCTTTGAGGCCTTGGTTCCTTCAATGGCAGGTTAAAATTAGAGTAATTGAGTACCACATCTCCAGAATGAGGCCTTTCAGCAAGCTGTTCTATCCCATGCAGGGAATGATCTTTTTAATTGATCACATTTAATTTTGCAGCTCCTTTCAGTCTACGTTGTCAGAAACACGATCTCCACAAGGGAAAATCTAAAGCGAGTAAAAGCAGATGAAGTTCTTAGTTTCAGGCTTCCAGTTGCTACGTTATTCAAGGGTTACGAATGTCTGACATCAAGCATCTCTCAAAAAAATTATCTTTTGATACTTGTGAAACTTAACACATTAAAACCGAAGGGAAAAAGTTTGGGCCTAGCATGATAAAGACACAAAAATTCTGACGTGTAGAGAAGCATACCTACATGAGATGAATTAATCCATTTCACCAATTTAACATCAGCACCAAGGTCTTCAAGCCTATGCACAAAATTGCAAATAACCTGAACTGGAGCAAGATCATCGTCTTCTGAGCAAAAAATGACATATGGTGCCCCCATGCTCTGATATCAGTAACAGTCACTGTAAATGATCGAGTATAAGGACAGAGAAGCAACCCTAAGTTACATCTGGTGGATACTTACAACAGTAGAGTAAAGAGTCTGCCAATACTCAGCACGCTGTGATTCAAATCTGCTAAGAAAGAGTGCATCCAGACTGGAAGAGATGCCATTTGCAAGCCATGATGCCAGGAGTGGAGGGCGGGACATTTTGAGAACACTTGGGTGAAGAACAAAACGAGTACCCAAGTCACTTGTAAAATCTACTGGACTGGAATCAAAGATGTAGCCAGCAACACAATCTCTAACTAGTCGGTAGTCATCCTTCACCGGAAGAGACCATCGGATTAGCCAATCCTTTTAAAAAGGTTCTTTCATTAAGATAATACAAATGAAAATTCATTTCTTGTAAAACAAGAATGTAGATATCTAATGTGAGCTATTTTCTTTATGAAATTTATACCAACTAGATAAGATATGCAATCCAACTATTCTAACCCACAACAAACTGCCAAATCTGAGGCATATAAATACAGGGCCTGACTCTTAGGATTGCAAATTTCTCTGGTGGATTGTTTAGTCTACAGCACAATTTCTGATGTTAAGGATCCTCAAGAGAGGAGCAAAGCATACTTTTATTACTGCTCAAATTGCTGGTTTAACATGACTGTTAAACTAATATTAGTACTCCGGATTCCAGTGAGAAACAGAGAGAAATTAGAAACTCGTGATCTAAAGGAACTCAAGGATTTATTTTCTGAAATGTTTCGATAATCCCCAACAAAGGAGGAGAGCCCCCTTTTATGGGAGGACGGTCTCCTTCAATAGTACAATAATTTTAACAACCAGACAAACATGACACATGACTTGAGTACATAACATTTAACACATGCAAGATACGAGTACAATTATTATACAAGTGGACACACAACTTTTGACTGAAGTAGATCCTACTTTAATAAAGCAAACAGTGCTTTATCAATTATTTTGCAAAACAACAGATGACTTATATAAAACGATAAAATACTTTGATCTGAGATGATCTTTTGCAAATTATGAAGTGCCTAGATTTGTTGCTATGGCTGGTTCATCCAAATCTTCAGAGTCTGATGGTAATTCTAGTGTTTTCCATTTCGGCATATTTTCTTTTCTCTCCATTTCCTTTTCTTCTTCAAGCTATCTTTCAAGTTTCTCAAAATTGTCAGGATCAAGAAGATCAAAAGATTGAGACCATGAATCTTAGGAATCTTGAAGTTGGGACATTTCAGTTCTGGCTGGCTTGAGCTCATTCCTTCTTGTAACATTGATTCTAGCTAGCTTTCTTTTTCTTGTAAGATGCGGATTTTCTCACCCCGTGTGAAGAGTCATATAAAGAACATTTTCATTTAACATTTTCCAAAGTCTCTCTCTGAGTTGGTGCCCTTCAGGAGTATCTTTGAGTACTTAGCTATCTATCCCAAACTCTGTGTTAGTCATCCAAGATATAATTGGTTCCAACAATTATTAAAATGATAATCCTCGAGGGGAATAATTGGATACCAATTGTGAATTTGGCTCAAGCTTTCCATATGAGCATGAATGTCCTGTTGGATTCTTTGAGCATGGTCCATTGGAAGAATTTCCCATGGAGCATCATCTTCAATTTTTGGCCAAATCTCTGAAGGAATTGTTTGATTTATTTCTGTCATTTTTCTTTGAAATAATCTAAACTCTTGAGGGTATCTTTCCCATTCTTTGCGGAGATTGAATGGCTAGACCGCATATTCTCAGATATGAGAGAGATGTTGATAGTATCCTGATTCAGTAAAATAACCCTGTCTTTGGAATACTAGGATTACATGAACATTAACAGATGAAGTTCTAAGACCTTTGGATTTTAGATAAAAATTTCGAAACTTTTCTCTCCAATGTGAGAGAGGATAAAACCATTCAAAAAATCTTATAACTTCATTGTTTGAATAAGAAATGAATTCAGGGTAATTCTTCCAAAATTGTGAAGGTTTTTCTGAAAGCCATGAAACTATGATATCAGCATTAAAACAGATTGCAACTTAATATGTCTCAAGAAGATACCATAAAAAACACAAGTTCTTTCGAAAACTTTTCTTCAATTTGTCCTGGATTAAAATAAAAGAGGTTTAAAAATGGATATTCTGGATGAAAGCTAAGTCCACTAAGAAGGTGGATCCCATTTTGTCAAATAACAATGAATTGATATTTCAGCATGAGTTCCTTCGATCTTAAATGGATGGTTTGATTTCTAATGAGAGTTTGAAGTTTAGGAGGGAAGTTTTGAATAGGAGGATTTTGTGAAGATGGGTCCGAGAATGGATTCATCATGCAGATGGTAGGAATTTGTGATTGAATAGGAGGTTTTGTTTGGGACAGTAAATCAGGTAAAAGATTATGTTTGCCTTTGATGTGTTTAACTTCAAAGTCAAAATTGGAAAACCATTCTGCTCATCGTAAAAGTTGTGAATTTGGAATTTGGTTCTTTTTGAAATTGAGCATTTGAGGAAATGCCTTCATGTCTATTTCTACCAGAAATTTATGACCAATAAGATGGAATTGAAACTTTTCTATTCCCCGTTTTACTCCAAGAATCTCCTTGAATGTTGAATGGTAATGCTTCTCAGATTCTTTGAGCATACCACTCTTGTAGCCACAAATTCTTCTTTCGCCCTCTTTTTCTTCTAAAAACACTGCTCCCCAATATAAATCACTTGCATCTGTTTGTAGAAATCTTTTTCTATCAGTGGGAATTTTTAGTGCCGGAAGGTTATGGACTTCTTGTTTGATTCTTTTGATGGCTTGAGTTTGTCCGGGTGACCATTGTGGAGGGCTTTTCTTGAGCATCTCCTGTAAAGGTCGTATAACAGTAGCCAATTGTATGAAAAAGTCTGTCATGTAGTTTACTACACCACGAAATTGTTGGACCTGTTGTTTTGTTAAATTCTCATCGGGAAATTTGAGGAGCTCTTCAGCAATGTGTGGTTGGAGTGAATAGCTGCCATTTTTTATATGCATCCCGAGAAAATCAATTTCAGATACTGCAATGATCATCTTTTTCAGTGATAGCATGTCCCATGTTCTGTGACAATTTTTGTGAACCTTTGGAGTAGCAACTCATGGATATCTTTATTTTCAGAGAATAATAATACATCATCAATATAAATCAATGCTGTTTTTAGTAGTGGCTGAAAAATTTTAACCATTGCCTTCTAAAATAATGAAGATGTCGTTTTCAGCCCAAAAGGCATAACCGTCCACTGAAAATGTTGATTAGGTACACAGAATGTTGTTTTGTGCCTTTCTTCTAGTTTGATCCCTAATTGCCAGAAACCCGCCTTTAGATCAAATTTTGAAAAAATCTTTGCTTTTGCCAGGTTTGCAAACATGATTTTTCTATCGGGGAGAGGAAACTTATCATTGCAAGAAAATGATTCGGTGGCTTATAGTCAATGACAAGTCTTAACTTCCTCTGATTTGCTTCTTTTGTTGACATAAAATGCTTGACACGCCCACTGTGATGTAGTGGGTTCTATGAGTCCTTCTGACTGTAATTAAGCCAATTCTTTTATGGCAAGCTCCAAATGTTCAAGGACTCATCCCCGTGTGACTCGCTTTTGTTGGATTGACATCCTCATTCTTTTTGAAAGGCAATGTTATAAAGAAGGAATAAGCTCAAGCCAACCAGAACTGACAATGTCCCAACTTCAAGATTCCCAATATCCATGGTCTCAATCTTTTGATCCTCTTGACCTGACAATCTTGAGAAACTTGAACGACGGCTTGAAGAAGAAAAGGAAATGGAGAGAAGAAAATTTACCGTGGTGGAAAACACTAGGATTACCATCAAACTGTGAAGACTCGGATGAACCAGCCATAGCAGCAAATCTAGGCACTCCATAATTTGCAAAAGATCGTCTCAGATCAAAGCATTTTATCGTTTTGTATAAGTCATCTGTCATTTTGTAAAATAATTAATAAAGTACTATTTGCTTTATTAAAGTAGAATCTCCTTCAGTCAACAGTTGTGTGTCCACTTGTATAATAATTGTACCCGTATCTTGCATGTGATAAATGTTGTGTACTCCAGTCATGTGTCATATTTGTCCGGTTGTTAAAATTATTGTACTATTGAAGGAGACTCTCCTCCTATAAAAGGGGACTCTCCTCCTTTCTTGGGGATCATCGAAACATTTCAGAAAATAAATATTTGAGTTCCTTTAGATTATGAGTTTCTAATTTCTCTCTGTTTCTCACTGGAATCCGGAGTACTAATATTAGTTTTAACAGTCACAGCAATTTGAACAGTAACAAAAGTATGCTCTGCTATTGCCTCTTTTGAGAATCCTTAGCATCAGAAATTGTGTTGCGGACTAAAAGATCCACCAAGGAGACTTGCAATCCGAAGAGTCAGGCCATGTATTTTTATGCGTCAGATCTAGCTGTTTGTTGTGGGCTAAAATAACTGGATTGCACATCTCATCTAGTTGGTATTAGATTCATCCAAGTAGGATATCTCACAAAGATAGTCCATCTTAGAAGAGGTGGATTTTCTGAAGAAAGATGAAGAAGAGAGAGAGAGTGAAGAAAGGCGAGATAGGGTAGGAGTAGTAATGGGATGTTGTGAGAAATTTTCTGAAGTCATTAGAAAGATATGTTCTCATTGGTACCAATTAGATAAGATATGCAATCCAGCTATTCTAGCCCACAATAAACAGCCAGATCTGAGGCATGCAAATACAGGGCCTGATCCTAAACTACAGATCTTTTGTCCAAAGTGTTCCGGAAGTGGCTGAACAGAATAAATAAATTATGGTACAGAAGCGCCAAATCTGTAGGATAACCAAAATAGCATGATATTAAGATGATTCGTGAAAAATTAGAGCATACCACATTAGCTTGCTCTTCACACTTGCCCTCAATTATCTGCAACCAAAAGAAACAGGATTGAACTGTACTCAGAATTTAAAACGAAAAATACTTAATTTAACATCTTGCTCTGAATGATATCTACCTGAAGAACCTTATACATGCAAGCCTTCGGACCACCAGAAAAAGATGCAAAAACTATGGGGCATGGCCTGATTTTTAGCTCCTTCGTAAGAAAATAAAATCAACACGGGTGTGAGAATAACTAAAATAATTGTTAAACCAAATTTTTTTTAAATCCGATAAACTAATAAGCCTTTGGTCTTTCACTTTCTTTTCTTTTGGGAAGAAGATAGAGAGATGATGACAATAACAGACTCTAAAACAATGTTATTTTACTTTGTATTAAAGAAGCTGCTCCAAGATTAAGTCAACCCACACAAGATAAAATTATAGATGTCAGTTTCTCATTGTTTCTTCGAAACGCTCTTTATCTTTTAAACAGATCTCCGATTTCAATCTTAGGAGAGTTATAGCCTAAAAGATGTGTAGCAGATACATGGGTTGTTTTCCAAAGAGCTTTTGAATAGACATAGTGAACACGGATGTGAAACTTTTTACAAGAGCTAGAATCTAGATAAGGTAGATTCATTTCATGACTGACCTGAACAAGATCACCGACAATTTCTTGTGCAAATGATGCAGCTTTATCAGGAAAGAATCTGCAAGCATAACCCATAAAATTGAGAAACAAATGAAATGATATATGCTTTGGGTAAATTGTTTGTTTTTCTAAATATCCCTCGAGTTAAAAAGCAATTCTGACTGTAGTTTCACGTGTCACTTAATTTAGCAGACAAAAAATTTCCTTCTCAATCTAATGCTAAAATTTCCTTTAGATTTACTAGGGATTGTAGGCTGTCGATACCTTAGATATCAATATAGGCCTTCAAATAGAGAATATGAGGATCAACATAATAAGAATATGAATCCAATAGCAAGAAGATTACGTCTTGATACCAAATTCTCTATGAAGCAATTTCATTAACAATCTATTGTAGATTGTGTAAATAAAACTTTGATATTAAAGGTTTCATCCTGTAGATGAGGTTTGAATTTCCATGTGGGAAAAGGGTTCCCTTGACAATATATTCAGCAAATTAGTCTGGATTAATTGAACTAGTTTTCTATTCTCTCCAGTGTTCCAGTAACAGAAACATGGGAGACAATTTTTGAAGTAGCATCATCCTAGAACGATAGATAATATGGAGAGCATTTCAGCCCATCTCAGTTTACTTTCTGTGATCTACTTAACACATGCAAAGACCTAACATCCAATGTTAATGTTTACCAATTCCACTAAGAGATGATGTCTGTTAGTCAATTCCTACAGCAAGGTAGAAAAAGTTAATCTTGATAGCATCAATCATGATATAGCTCCATGGAGAATTTAAAGGAGGAGGAGGAGGAGGCCAGATTTCCATTATTTGAACTTAAGAAATTTGTTAGAGAAAAACGAATACGTAAAGGATAGTTTGTCCTTAAAAATGAAATACAATTTTATTCATTTGAAAAAGCATCCTGTATATCCAATAGTTTCTGCAAACAAAAGCATCCATTTCACTTTTCCTCTGCCCTCCTAAAGTTACAAGAACAAATTTATCAAACTAAACCTGTCAAAATGCAATCTAAGAACAATACATAGGGTAGAACATCTACTTGATCTCAATTATTCTGCATATTCAAGTTAGAACATCTCATCTACATTACAAAATTACACCAGTGTTTGTGTGGAAATGATTTTTTGAACATAACTGTTCTTCACACTCATTTTCAACTACGTAATAAAGAAAAAAATTTAATTTTTCACAGTTCCCCCTAACTTTTCCTACCTTTTTTTAACCACATATTCCTTTTAAAAAATCACTTTTCAAAAAATCATATCCACAAGAGCAAAGAGCAAAAAATATTCAACACATTAATAAAATACTATTTAAAAATCATTTCCTATTTATATCCATAATTCAAAACATTCTAATTCATGAACCTTATCAAGCCCAACTAACTTATCCATTGCTCAGCTCCAAACCTACAATTTAAATTGATGTAAGAGGATATCCACAAGATCCCTCACCCATATAGGTCAACTCAGATACCAGAAAACATACCGCCAGCAAGCTAAAAATTTGAACCAGAATCCTAAATCTAGAAAAAAGATGAAATTGGGCTTACGAATTCAGGAATTGGGAGTGGCAAACTAGGGAATTCCAGCCAAGAGAGGAGTACAGATCGACATAATTCTTCAAGTGCTTGTCCTGACTTGACATCCAAGCAAACACCACCACTATTCCTTCCACTTTCCCCCTCTCGTTTCTTCCCCAGTAATGTCTTCCCCCAAATCCCCACATCTTTGCACTTTCCTTCTCTCTTTCTACTGGAAAAATAAAATCCCAAGAAAATGAAACATTTTTTCTTGAAAACAAAATTAAAGACGAGACTCTTGAGAGAAACCCAAAAAAGGATAAAATCTTTTGGTTGTCTTGTTGGCTAAAAATTAAATGCGAATTTTTCTAGGGGGCTGACAGTGAAAGGTAGTTTTTCTTAAAAAAGAAAATAAAAAATTGCAGCTTTTTAAGTTTTTATGGCAAAAATTTGGATTTTTTCCAGTAATTATTGACTGTCATGTACGATAGATCTGGTTGAACAATCAAAAGTGCCATCTGCCGAAGTATGGTATGGGGTTGTTTTGCCCTAATGAAATCACATTTGTGCCCCAGTTTTTTGGGTAATTCACACTGGTGGTGCCTTGGATTTTGTGAAGGGATTTCCGTGGTTAGCTATGAATGAGTTTCAACTTTCATCGGGATATGATTGTGACAGGTGGATGACGACTGATGAGAAGCGGCCATACGCAAGTAAATATCATTTTTATTTATCTGATTATCATAAAAATTGGCAAATAATTACGAAAATTAAATATAAAATGAACTTTTTTTATTTAGAAAAATGTAAAATAAGACAAGAAAATCACTACATTTCCCTCACAAAAGCAAGCACCTCTTATCTCTTTCACTAATGCTACTCAATCGATCAGAGGCTGTCCATGATCCTTGTTTGAGTAGCATCTCTCTATCTCTTTAAGTTTCGTAAGAGTTTTCATCTCTCAATTATGAATTTTTAAAAACTCCGATAGACTCTCCAAAATGATCATATTTTTATGAAAAGAAAGAAAAGGAGAAGAGCAAATAAAAGTCAATAGATTTGGATGTATATTATAAGAACCAAAGCCTTATATTTAAATAAAAGAATTAGGAATATAATGATAATAATTTTTAGAGCTGCAATGATACAATTGTCATCCACTAATAAAATTATTGTTACAACATTTTTCCTTGAATGACACATTATAAAAAATCTGTCTCGTTAAAACTTTGTTTGAAAAAAGTCCAATAGGATTAAAAAAAATCAAACGAAAAAAAGAGTACATTTAATTCGAAAAAAATAAATGATGTCTCATTAAAACCTTACTAGAAAAGTCCAGTGGGATAAAACCCAAGCGGAGAAAAAAGAGTAAGGATACTCCCCTGATGTAGATTACTGAAAACCTTTTAGTCGACACATTTCAATCTCGTAAACCAATTTCTTGAATGTAAAAGTTGGTAGTGTTTTTGTAAATAAATTAGCTACATTATCATTTAAGAGATTTTGTTGAACATCGATATCATAATTCTTTTGAAGCTCGTGAGTATGAAATAATTTTGAACGAATATACTTTATCATGTCACCTTTGATATAGTTTCTTTTGAGTTATGCAATACAAGCAGTATTGTCTTCATACAAATTGTTGAATTATCTTTTGTTGAAACTAACCAGCATGATGCTTGGATATGATATAGTCATGTTCCTCAACCATACACATCATTGGCATGCTTAATGGATTACAATAATTTCAGAATAATTTGAGAATGTTGCTGTTAATAATTGCTTTATGGATTTTCATGATATTATTGTTCATTCATGTTTAAACACATATCTTAATTGTGATTGAGTTTTATGTGTATCGGAGAGATAACATAAATCTACATATCCCATTAAAGCAAATCCCTGCTTTATGGAATAAAATAATCACAAATCAATAATATCTTTCACGTAACGAAAAATGTGTTTAACACCGTTCCAATATTTTTGAATTGGTATAGAGCTATATATAGCAAGAAGTTTACAGAAAAGGCTATATCGGGTAGAGTGTAGTTTGTAAAATAAGTTAGTGCTACAATTACATTATGATATGGTACTTCGGGATCAATAACATTTTCTCTATCTTCAAGTGGATGAAATTGATCTTTTCACATCAAGTGGTCAAATAACCATAGGTGTGACAATAGATGTGCATTATCCATATAAAAATATTTTAAGACTTCCTATATATGTAGGTTGATGAACAAATAATTCTTCTGCAAAATGTTCAATCTACAACCCGAGTTAAAATTTCGTTTTTTCCTAAATCCTTCATCTCAAATTCTTTTTTTCAAAACAATCTGCAAATTTATTAAGCTCTTCAAGAATTCCAATTAAATTTAAATCATTAATATAAAACTGCCACAATTGCAAATTTAATATTTATTTTCTTTATAAAAACACATGGACTAATATTGTAATTTTTATAACCCTCCTTCAATAAATATTCGTTAAGGCGATTATACCACATGCATCTAAATTTTTTTAATCTCGCAATTTAATTGAGAACATGGTTTTTGGTCATATATCATTTGTTCTTGGCACTTTAAGTCCTTCCGGACTTTGTATCTTGTAATTCTATTATTTTAATTTCTCTTTCGTACAAAAATCAATTTGTATCCAATAGGGATTACATTTTCAAATGTTCGAATTGTAGGTCCAAAAACTCTTCTTTTTTCTAAGGAATTCAATTTTCCCCTGTATGGCTTTTTCCCATTTTGGCAAATCATTTCTATGTTGACAATCTTTAACTAACCATAGTTCAAAATCCTCATTTTACATAATAGCAAGAGCTATGTTAAAAGCAAAAATCTGGTCCATAACAACATTATTTCATTCCCATAATGTATGAGATAATATATAATTTATTGAAATCTCATTATTTTCAGATAGTTCTGGTTCTTCAAGAATCATATTTTTAATATTTGATCGATCAATCTTTTCAAATATTGTTTCTTCTAAAGTTTTTGGTTGGCTTTTCTTTTGTACCTTTCTTTTTCGAGGTATAGATTCTTTTGAATCAATTGGTCGACCACGCTTTTGGAGTATTTGAGATTCGTTTATTACAGCAAATTGTCTTTCAGGGACATCAAAATTTGTTAGAATATTTTTTGGTGGTATATATAACTTTGTCACCTTTCTCGCGTCAACAAATATTTTAGATAATTAATTTGCAACATTTTGTAAATGAATGATTTTTTTTCAACTTCTTGCTCATGTTGGTTGCTACTTTCAAGAAATTTTACCTAATTTTTCATTATGTAGTTTTTTCTCTTCCAAAGTTGGGAATGTCATTTCATCAAAATAACAATTTGCAAACGTGCAATAAATAAATCACTCGTTAGAAGTTCAAGATACCTAATAATAGATGGTAAATCAAAACTTACATAAATCTCAAGTTTTCGTTAAGGACTCATTTCAATACGCTATGGAGGTGAAATAGGGACTTGGATAGCATCACAACCAAAAACTCATAGGTGAAAAATATTAGGTTCATAATAAAATGCAAGTTGCAACGTTAAATATTGATAATAGGCAATTGGTTTTATATGAACCAATGATGCAGTTTAAAATATGATAGGGCCTGAACTGAAGTTGGGAGTTTTGTTTTCAGAAGTAATTGTTTAGAAATGAGTTGTAGACGTTTAATAAATGACTCCGTTAAATTATTTTGTGTATGTCCATGTGCAATCGAATGTTCAATAGCACTCCCAATTGACATACAATAACCATCGAATGCTTATGGTCTAAATTCATGAGTATTGTCAAGACGGATAATCTTGATTGAGTAATCAGAAAATTGCGCTCATAATTTTATGATTTGAACAAGTAGTCTAGCAAAGGCTGCATTCTTAGTGGAATGTAAGCAAACATGTAACCATCTAATAGAAGAATTAATTAATAGCATAAAATAATGAAATGATCCATATAGTGGGTGTATTAGCCCACATATATCTCCATAATTCTTTCCAATAAAATTCGAGATTCAATATTGACATTTATGCTCGAATGTCTAATGACTAACTTGCCTTACGAATAAAGTACACATGGACAATCATTATGTCAAAAAATCTTCTGGTTCTTTAAAGAATGTCCATATGAGTTGTTTATTATTTGACACATCATTATAACTAATGGATGTCCAAACCGATCATAACCAAAGTATAAAACTTTTTAGGTCAACAAACTTCTAATCGTGACAATTTTTAATTCAAATTTTTATAAATGTATAATACATGCCACATTGAAGTACATGAAATTTTTCTTGTATCTACTTTCGACTAGATACAAAATAAGTTATGCAAAGATATTTAACATTATTTTCTTGTATTGTCTCAATGTAATGTCCATTGTAGCAAATATCTTCTGAATTGTTATAACAAAGTGTATCGTCAAAATATTTTGTATTATTTGATAAAATAATACAAGCTTTTTGGGAAAGTTCAACGATATTCGTGCACTCGATATCGTATTAACATTATTTTCTGATAATATTAAGTCAAACAATTATTTTTGTCTTGAAACCATGTTCACGATATTACTGCTCCAGAAGTAAAGTCAAGACATGAAATGTGGAAAATTTTTCTCCAACATGAGTGATTTTTCTCAAACACAAGGTCAATTTTGAACATATTCTGAATAGTTCAGAACTGTACTCACTAACAATTTTGAAAACTTGCATACGAAGATACATTTACTCATATCAAGCTTTTAGGGGACTATAGTCCTCTGATGATCAAATTTTTCAGTTAAGTTTTTTCAAAGAATCAATGAATCTTTCTCAGTAAGATATTTAATTTTCAATTTATCACAAAGATGAACACGAATGAAGATGAGTGCTTTTACACGATCTTGTAGGGATTATTTGTTTCCTTCTTTTAATGTCTCTCCTTAACTTTTTGAGATAAAATGGATATCAACATCGAGTACCCATGACATATAATTTTTGCCAAATATGTAAAGTGTAGTAAATTCAAGTTTTGTGATATTTGTTATTTGATTAACTATACGATAAAGAAAATATAATTAATTTCGAAGAATGTGACTAAATATTACATAATAGTTAATCAAGTAGTCAATATTAACATGACATAAATTACGTATTTTCATTTAGGGATAAACGCTAAAATAATATGTTTTTCGAAATATGTACTACTATAAAAGCACATTGTATGTTACTATTACTTCTTAAAGAGCAATATATCAATATTTTTCTGTAATATTGAAAATTATAAGGGTAATTGGCACAAAACATACATACCTTTCAAGTTTATTGTGGAAAACTTTCATACCCTTCACATTTCTTTGTGTTGGATATACTTTTCACCAGTTTTTAACGTAAAATGACCGATATACCATCCTCTTTAAATCAAACAAAAAATAAAGGAAAAATAAAGAATAAATTACAACTATAAGCGCAAACTTTTACAAAAATGCAAATTAGTCCAAATAAATTATAAAAATATTAAAAACTCTCTCTTTCTCTCTCCTTCCCTCCTCCACCTAACTATGATTTTCACCACATTCTAGCTACCATGGACACCAGATCATAGTACCAAATTGAAGCCCTTATTTCCGTCTACACAACCCAACCAACAGTTGGCCCTAACTCCAAGTGAGTTGGCCGAAATTTCTCTCCAAAATCTACCAATTACACAAACCAAAACTGCCGGCAGCTCTCTTTCCGACGACTCCCAACCCAACCCAACATATTGGTAGATTCCCCTCATCATGACCCATCAAACCATGGCCCCCAAACACTTACTCACCCACCCAATAGACATCAGAAGCCAAATATTTCGAACGCAGTCATCACACATGTTTTGGGCAAAATTTCAGTGACTGTTGTGGACATCATGATCGCGAACCGCCATATTCAGCACCATCTCATCATGGTGAAGCTATTACAACAATGGGTCTTCAATAATTTTGCATGAATCACAATTAATTTTGAGACAGTTCGAAGCATACAGGTTTAGATTCCCTTTCAATTGAGTAGTATTTGTATCAAATTTCTATCATAAGTGTTTGGGGCTGATGACAACAGTTTATGGTGCGAGCTTTGGTGGTTTTGACGGCGACGGCGATGGTGGTGGTGGTGAAGAAGGCGTAAGGAAAGGGAGTTGAAGAGGATTGAGGAAGAGTTTGTTTATTTGTTATTTTAAATATTTTAATAATTTATTTGGACTAATTTGTACTTCTTTAAAAGTTTGGACCTATAGTTACAATTTATTCTTAATTTTTTTGTTCTTTTTTTTTATTTATTAAACAGGAGAGTATATTTGTCATTTTACGTTAAAAATTTGTTGAAAAGAATGTCCAACGCAAAGAAAGGTGAAAGGTAGGAACAAAAAAGTCAAAAATGAAAGATATAAACGTTTTCCACAATAAACTTCAAATGTAGGGACGTTTTGTGCCAATTATCCAAATTATAATATATACTCTTTAGAGCAAGTAGTATTCTTTAAGGATATTGATTATAATATTGTGTTATTTCAGGAGTAAGAACAAACTATTTATAATAGATAGATTTACGATTAATATTCTTTTGGAATATTAATTATAATATTGTGCTATTTCAGGGATAACAACATAATAATTTATCAATTTGAATTAAATATCTAATCAGGCGAAAAGTATTAATTACCAGACAGACAGAATATGATATAAAAATGAATTATCAAATAGATAGGATATGAATTTATATATAAAAATTAATGACCAAACATACATTACGAAAAAATCATTGTTTATCAAACATAGGATTTTTTTATGAATTCATAGCAGACGTGAAGAATCAATTATGGAGACACAATTTCAGACGATCATTATGCAATTATGAAATGAAATGATATCAACCATGAATTGATTTTTGAAGAAAATTTGATTCACATATGTAACCAAAAAGGGGAAAAAAAATCACGCTATGGTGCTGGGACACGACATGAGATGAGAGAGTGGGAATGGGCAGAAGCAAATTGATTTCAGAATCCCACACACACACACACACACACACACACACACACACACATATATAACAATAAAGTGCTCCAGGAGCATAGTCTAGTTGTGCAAATGAAAGGAGTGATATTATCTCATGCCTTACTGGCAGTCGTAGTGTGGAGGTTGGATTTCTGAGACATGAAATTTGACTCATCGTAGGCGCAGTGTATATGCAACTCCTGTTCTCTGGCCTGCTGGTCACATCCCGTGATTTACCTTTTTCACAAAGTTCTAGGAGAGAGGCGGTGGGGGCCCTCAAGGTTGATGTTCAATTTTTGTTTTTTTTTTTTATAAAACAAGAAAGTTACTTGTACAAAGTTGAATTACAAAAGTGGAGTTACAAAGTGTGTTGACAAAATTCAGGCTATTGATTTCAAATGATTTAAAAATTTGTTTTTGAAATGATTGGTGTAGATGTGATTTTGTCATCCACCTTTGTCAACTCCCTTTGTAAGTGTAGCATAACTCTATATAAAATCACATGTCACCAAATTGATTTTGATTTTGATATACGTTATAGAAGATTATGTTTATAAAAAAATATTACTATCACTGGACTTTGAAAAATTAAATTTAGATTTCGTGCTAGTAGTGTGTCATGAAAAGAGAAAAAAGAGGAGAGATAATAAAAGTTAATAGATTTAAGTATATTTTATTAAGAACCAAAATTCTATATTTATAGCGAAAAATCAGAGATACAACAATAATAATTTTTAAGATGATAGGAGTACAAACATTCTTGTTATTGTATTCTGCATTGTTTTCTTGTGTTAATGTGTACATTATTTCAATATTTTAATTGAGGTGATTTAGTATTTTTTACATTCTTTGACATATTTATTCATCAATTTGGTCGTGCAATTAGAAAAGCATAACACTCGGATTTCTTTCCTTTCATTGAATTTGTCCGGATCCATCTTTTCTTCCCCCTATACATATAGATACAAATGGTTCAATATGAGCCAAAAAAATTTCAGGAACGTTTGGAATATTTCATTTCCTTAAATTATAGTACATAAATAAATACATCAATAATACAAATTTTATAGAAAATAGAAAAAATAAAAAAGAAGCGATCGTCATGATGAAATGAAAATAAATTGCGGTTCGAAGAACACTCACATTTCGATTGTCAATGAGCTCAACCAATTTCAAGATAAGAAAAATCCTCTTCAGTTTCCCAGGTACACTTCTTTCATCAATCGATTCTCTATCAGCTATTATTTTATGGTATACAATGCCTATAATTAGGGTTTTTACACATATATTTGCACCTAATTTCATTTCTGTATGGATACTTTTAAATTTTTTACAAGAAATTGTCGTACTGTTTTTTACATTTCAATATTCTATCAATAATGTCTAAAATCCATGTTCTATTTCCTATAAGCTTTCTATTTTTTTTTTCGTAAGTTTCAAGAGTGCAATTTGGAAAACTCTATTTTTCTTTCCTTATGGTAATCAAAATTTGGAGTTCATTTTTTTTTATGTAATATTCAAAATGGTGTTCTTGGCTTTGAATAATTTTTTGAATTACCTTGTCATTAATTATCATTGGTGACCTCACAGAACGAGTTGTGATTAATGTATAAAGTTGATCTTTTCTGTAATATTTTAAAGGAGGATTTTCTATTCCTCAACTCTTAGGACTTCTTCCATTTCCCCTGATACAAATTGAAGGTGAGAGGGAAACTGTGCACTTTTTCTGTGGAATTGTTTACTTCTTCCACTATTGATATTATTATTGAATAATCATTACGGAAAATTGCGGTTATCAACCTATAGTTCTGGTAGCGAGTTGGTACCAACCATTAGGCCTCCATTTGGCAATATTTATAAATCATTAGCCTCGTTTCAACCTCAGATACCAATGATCCATAAGTAGTATCGATTTATCCATCACTTCTATGTATCCCTATATCAAACCATTTATAATTCTTCCCAAATGGTGGCTAAACGAGACTTTTGTTTATAAGATGATATCCGTCTCAAAATCCATTGAAAAGTCAATCTTATACTAAAAACACGGTGATGCTGTTCTTTCTAATTAAAATAACTAAGAGAAGACAAATAAAAGGAAAGCAAGAAAAGCAAAAAGAAAACAGAAAGAAAGAACAAACATCATTCGTACCTAAGAGATTCTGGGTTGCATCTTTAGGTATTTGAATTTGCATCTGTACCTTTAAGCAGTGAACCAGATTATAGAAGATTAAAAGTCCCTGACTTCTGATGGGAAACTGGAAAAAGTAATGTAATTGAAGTCAAGCTCCCTTCTGCCTTTGCACTCGAGGGCCTTGAGGGTCCGACATTAAGCCTCTCATACCTACTTGGAATTTGCGATCCCGTGTAAGATCGGTTTGGCTTCATGCAGGCGAGTTGCAGCCTGCAATCCGAACTAAGGACAGGTTTTTGGGATGGGCCGGGGGTTTATTATTTGTAATGATTCCATTATTCACGATAAATAATAAATAAAAAGAAAAAGCCATTCCAAAGACACGGATAATTACATTACCCTCAGAAGCAAGATCACGTCCTTCATGACGAGCTTTTACACATGCTTCCATTTTTGGAACACTTCTAACAGAGGGACAAATAGTCAATTTTGAAAGAACTTATTGTCAACTTCTATCCAATATTTCGAAAAAATTCCACCGATTACCCATAGCCAGGTTCTTTACGCAAAGAAGTCAGGCTTTCTTCCAGGTAGAAGCCCATTCCTTTTACTTTGGCTGGATTATTCGTAACTGCATATTTATATCAGTTGGTGTCTGTTTAGATTTAAATGTAGAATAACCTGTTTAAAGCCAGAACAAATCCCTACATTCTACCACTGGAAACCCCTTTTTCTCTGGTGGCTGATGACAGTATTAAACTAAAACTGTTTTATGTCTTGGTGGGGAAGGGTGGGTGGTTCTTGGAAAGTTGTGTAACTGAAATTTTTAATGAACTTGGGATTGAAACCGTCTGTTGGGATTATTTGTGCAACAGCAGTGAAAGACTGATGACAAAATCTGCTCCATCATAAAGGTGTGGACCGACTTGCTATTGGAGTTATAGGTTGGGAACCAGTGGTGCAATTTTTTGTAATCATTACCTAGTTCAATTCACTATCTACTAGGAAATCAATTTAACATTCCGTTGGTTTAATTTGACAGACATGTACTATAAATTTAGGGCTCATTTCTATTCTCCGTTAACAGTAGTTACTCATTCTAGATGAATTATGAATGGATTCAAACCTGGTTAATTGTATGATTACTGAAGAAGAGGCATTCATAACTCGGATAATGGACTTTCATTTTTGAGCTTATCATTTATGCAACACACTGTTGATGCTTCATCCCTGCTGTCTAACAAATATTATTGTCTGCAACAAGGATTGCTGGACTGGACTAACGAAGAATTTTGCCTAGCTTTCACCATGGAAATCAAGGCTTGACCATTTCTTTCCTTTCTCATTTATTTGTATCATGGAGAAAAGGGTTACTGAAAAGCCTGAGTGTGCCATTACGTTCCACAAGGTCCTGGTTTTTTGACAATTGGCGAGCTCAGCTGAAAATATAGAAATGAGTTCTGGTGAAGAAAAACCCCACTGGAATATGTATGATGATGTGAAGACCATCTCAACATCACCTGAAGTGCTTATGGCTGAGATTAATTCTGCCATTACTGCTCTTGAGTACACTCGTGCTACTGCTTTCTTACAATCTCGATCTGCTTCTGCCTCAAAGAACGTAAAGCCTAATGGAAAGTTGACTTCACAATATGATGCTCAAATGGCTGATGAAGCTTACAAGGCAGGGTTAGCTTCCATGGCTGCAGGGAAGCTTGATGAGGCTGTCAACTCACTAAATGACGCTCTTTCCAAATGCCCGCCTGATAAGACATCTGCTGTTACTAAGCTTCAGTCTCTTATTTCCCTTACATCCCAACAGCTTCGCAAGTCCCCGGTTGATTCAGTTGGTACATTCAAGACTCCTTAATGTGGTGTTCTGATGGCTATTTTCTCATACTTACCTCATTTTTCTTTTCCTCTCGAATTCTGTTTTCTTCAGAATTTTTCTGTGTCACTGTGTCTGTAGCACAACAGGTAAACTTTCTTTCACACACATTAGAAAATTCTGTCATCCCCATAATTGCAGCTTTGGTATTCTAGACTTCTTTAAGTACTGGAAAACATGAAGCTAAAATTGTCTGACTACATGACAGCAGGCAGAGAATTGTGGGGAACAATGATCTTCCAGATGTCTTTGTTCCCCAGTTTGTCCAATTTGCTTGAAAACACAACAGATGGAACATTAATTACTAGATATGAGAATTGCCTCATCTGCTCATTAAGAAGAAGTCGTTGCTTGAAAACACAACAGATGGAACATTAATTACTAGATATGAGAATTGCCTCATCTGCTCATTAAGAAGAAGTCGTCATGGTTGACTAGTGTATTCGTGTGCAAATTCCCATCTTTTTACTACTTAACAATTTAACATTTTTGAAGATACAGGTTCATCTCCTACAATGCAATTGGGAATTTGGACTAATATTGTAAAACTGCTAGCGAACCATATAATTAAGTATTATTTGTTGGAGTTTGCCAGATCAATTGAATGAGAAATATCCCAAAAGAACTGTGTTTTATTTTGCTTGCATATGTTGATCCCTAGTTGTGTCCTCTCTGTATTCTGATATACTATTTTCCTTCTCTATTTTCAAGAAGGAAGATAGAAAGAAAAATAAGACTTTCTGGGAAGTACTGTTTTAGGCAACCTTTTGATTACCGTGAACATGTGGATTTGAAGAGGATGTTTTGTCTGGTCTTGAGAACTACTCGGAGGATACTTAAAAAGAGTCCTCAAACTTCCATTTATTTGAGCTATTCCTCCTTAGAGATTGTCAGATCTTTTTCAGGTGTCAGATTTTCCTTCATTATGGGAAAAGTTCCAATATTTTCTATACCGGAAGAAAAGTTAACTCTTCTTATTTTTCCCACCAAACTCCCCGAGGTCAGGTTCTCTTTTGATGGCACTCAAGTGACTCATCTTAGCTGCCAGTGAAAGACACCTTATCCAATGTTGCTCCTCTTCACTAGCAGTGAGGCGTCTTTGTTGAGCTGTCTCTCGAATGTGAGTGTGACAGTGATGTTGGTGGCTATTGGCTCTTCTTCCTGGTTACGCTTGTTTCCGTCATAACAGTGCCTGTGTCGTAAGTTTGATAGTATCTTGCCTTTTACAGCCCTTAACTCTGCAACTGGAATGTGGGTGGAGCCACTTCCTTTTCTTCATTACTATGGACTACACATATTCACCACTTTCCAATCGTGCTACCGAGATTGCCAAATTTTGAATGGTTTGGGTCAGGGTGACCGTTATGGCTTTTCTCAGAGTCGGTGAACTGGGATTTTGGTGTTCTGAGCACTATTTTGCTAGTTCTCATGCAATTTTAGTCAGCTTCGCAAATTTGCCTTTTCAGCACACTTCTGTCAAGATCTCCTTGAAGATCATGACTTGTTGGAGTATGAAACACAAGAATGCCAAGTAGGACACTTCTCCATTAGTATTGGTATCAAGTTTACGGTCAGTGCGATGTTCACTTTTACATTTGAGTTCGAGCTTCTGTGTTCAACCTCGGGTGCCTTGAATGCTGGACTTGAGTGACCTCTCGTGCTTGGTCTTTTCATGGTGTGAGATAGGAAGTTCTACTTCACAACACTCAATATTGACAGTGTGAGGACATCATTTTAGTAGCTCTCGTCTTAGCAGGCTTAATGCTCGATGGCCATAACTTGATATTCAGCAAAAAGTTAGCTTATGACGTGAAGATGGTTGATTACACAGTAATCGAATAAGCATCAGTATAACAATATGCAAGAGATGCGTTACCTCTCCAATCTAATTACTGTCACTTTCATTGGAACAAACTGCAATTTGACGCAAGCTATTATTCTCTTACCCCACCCTATTTGTTTTTATATAGACTTGTAGCATAATTAGCAAAATACCATGTGTCAATAGTGGGTTAGGTACCATATCGCTTACAATTACTTCCGGATGATATCTGAAAAGTACAATTTTAACTATTAAGAACCAAGAATGTGACTGGAGATTATCCACGTTTGAGAAACTCTTTACTGTTTGATAGTCTAGATGAATAAAGCCCCTTGAACAACCGGTGGACAACCAGGAGGTTATGTGGCACCCCCTATTGGAGGGTTGTTCAAGTAGCGCGCCCCTACTCTAGATTGAATAGAGGTGTGCGTCCTTAAAAAAGATGTAAAAAAAATTATCGCCCAGTCGTATCTTGTTTATCAAGCATACTGAAGATTCCCATACGAGTCTCCAAGTAATTATGTAATACAAGAAAAATCTGAAGGTGGTAACAAGTCAAATGTCTGTTAATCTTTCGCATCTCTCTTGTTAACTTTATCTTCACACCAAAGTTAAAAGCGCAGAAATTGGAATAGGATGCAAGGCCACTGTCACATAAATCACTAAATACAAATATTTAGTTCATACATATTCTCCGCTCCAACAAATTCCGCCCATTTATCCAAAATTCTTTCCAAGATGAGCCTTTTTCATCATGAAGAGCCAACAAATCCCTCCAAAAGATGCAAATTCCTTGCTTCAGCCCTCAAAGATGCATTTGCCAAATGCCAATCTTTACGAGGAAGGAGTTCTACTTCATACCCCCAGCAACAACAGGAAGAAGAAGAGCCAGACAGTGATTACAATGATGAAGAAGAGGAAGTACTCACTTAACGTTGAATTCTTCTTTTAATACAACAATTTCTTCTGCTAACCCATTTTTGTATGGAACAGGTATTTGTTTCAGCAATCATAAGTAAATATAAGGAGTCCAAATGCAAACGCAAGTCAAGTGGAATAGATAGTTTCAACTGGGCGTTCTCGCCAACAGCAGGAGAATTGTTCATTACCTCGAAGTCAGTAAAAGAAACGAGCAATGAAGAAGATAGATATGAATTTCTCACTGTCGGCAGCCATCTCTCCCGGAGTTCAAGTGCTACGAGCTTTGATGCTTATATCTCTGTCAAAACTTGCTTGTCCAGGTGTTCGAGCTTAAGTAGTATCGACAGCTTAAGTAAGATTGACTACAAAGATTCTCATAGACGCTCGATTATTCAGGAGTTCTGCCAATGCGAAGGGTGGCCGTTTGGACTTTGCCGGAAGGCCTTGTTGCTGCCTCCTCTGCCCAAGTCCCCATCTGATTCTTGGTCATGGCGAAAGAGTGCTAGAATGGTAAAGATACATTGATAGCAGGATACTATTTAACACTTTATGTTTATGCAAACAAAATATGCTAAAATAAGGAACAATTACATTCAATTTGTTGTGTATACAGCTGAAAAATAAAGTGCGGTGAGCATTATGCCATTATTTTTCCCAGTGGAATGTTTGTATTCCTTTCAAATTGTTTTCCTTTTTTAATCTCTTTATCTAGATGTTTCTATCCTTCTTATTCTCTGTTCATATTATCTGTCTGTAGAGGAACGTCACTCAGTGTACTACATTCATTAATTCAAAATTCAGAAAACACATTTAATGAGAATGATAACATGCTTTGCCAATCGAATCAACAAACCATTATTACGGCATGAAACCATATAACAAGCCTGAAACCCAAGTTATAGAAAATTCAGAAGAAAGATTACAGCATCAGGGATTTTAGCTTCTTAAGTTTGCCGAAATCCTTATTATTATACCTACTTGAACAGAGTTTCAGCGTACATGCTAGCAGAAGAGGAGCACGAGAACCAAACTTGCAGCAAAAGTAAACTTGTTGGAAACTTCAATGGTTCTGAAATTCTTGCGCAAGTCAAAAACATGAAAAAATGAATAGATTTATTTAGCCGTCTAGCCAAATCTATGCTCTCTGCTCAACGTAAGAACCAGAGATTCCAGAAGTCCCAAGGACAGAAACCTGCAATAAAGCCAACTGATGATGTGGAAAATAGAAACAACAAACATTTACTTGCTAGGATTTCAATAACGGTAGTAAATGAAGATAACGCGATTGTTGAAAAATAATTTTGTTAGTTACCTCAGGCAAAAATGTAATTGAAAAAACAAAGGCAAGAAAGTCGGATGGCAATGCTTCCCACTTATAAAATCATTTTATGGATAATAGGTGTGTGATCGTTCATTAATCGTTTAGATGTGGTTAAATGGATATGCATTTACTTTTGCCATCTTCAATTGTCATAGCTAAGACATTTTGCAACAATATATGTAAATAATGTTGCAAACTTTTCCAGCATAGCTATCTATTTAGGTATGCAAATTGCCACAAAATCATTTTGCAAGAATAATCATACCTTTCCCCACTCAGAATCGAGGCCGCTGCACCTCATTTTCAAGTATATCATCTTTGTTCCCAACTCATTCTCCACTTTCTTCTTCAAATAGCTCTCCTCTGGCCCAAATGCGTCCAAATAAGCAGCATATCTATCAAAGATTGTACGCATTGCCTTTACATATTCTTCTGGCATGGGTTTCACATCCTGCCAAATTATTAATTATTGTACAAGAAGCCAAGAGAATACTAGAAATATATACAACCATTAATCACGTACAATTCATATTACCTCGCCACTCATCCCAATGGCATCATCCATTTCCATCTTCAGTGACATGAGAATACCTGTAAACTCTTCAACTGCCTCTGCTGCTCGGAAAACATTGGTCAGGGCTTCTTGAGCAGCCTTGTCATCAGTATTCTTAGACAAAGCCTTTTTTACACCATGGACAACAGCAGGTGGGAGTTCATCCCAGTTTGTGGCCATTAAGTCCTTGAATGCCCGCTCAATCTCAGGGTCTTTTATGACAGGCATATGTGCAACATCTTCGCTGAATGACCGTGTACCCCCAATGCGCATTGCTAAAGGATTCGAGTAACCTATGTGATAAGAAGTATCAAGAAGTATCAAGAGTAAAAAAGATATTGAAGAATAACAACACTACTCAAGTAGAAACTTTTTAGGTGTGGAAACATCTCATGACACACAAGGCACAAAGGTGTACTCAATGAAATAGGATGCAGGTACATCAAAAATGTTATTTCCATTGTGGAACTCATTAAGAAAAAGCAGTATCACTTAATATAATTGGTTCAAAAGGATATATGTTCTGGTTTTCCATTCATAGAAACATTTAATGAGTGAAAAGAAAAAGGAAAGGGAAACATCTATCTCACAGGCAACATGACAAAGCCTAATTTCAGATATATTTGGTGATTGGGATATGTCTTCAGAAAATGCAGAGATCCTCCATTCGTTAAAGTAATGCAATCTCAGTATGGTACATTAGAAGAAGGTACTAAAGATCTATTTTGTTTCGGATTCTTCTAATAGACACAGTAAACCAAAAAAGAGTGACAAATAGATTATATGTAGTCGATCCCAAATTTTGTAGGGAATAAGTTACAGTTTGTTGTATTAGTAAGAAAGGACTGCAATGAATTCTTTCCTAAGATTATGCTCTTACAGTAGTATTTTTCTCTTTAATGGTATATAGTAACCTAGGATGCTTAATATGGACACGGCGGTGCCAATACAACACATTCCTGTAACGGGACATGGCAATTCTTCAAAAGACTACTATACAACATAGTGAAGACAAAAGCCATCTTTGGTTTAACTAAATAAGCTTTTTAATAGATTTTGATAAAAGATGATGGTGTGTTGTTAAAAGTTGATAAAAGTTAAGGGTCCCATGTAAAATCTCGGAAATAGAATACGACATTGAATAAAATACCTGTCAAGCTCCGTAGATTTTAATAATAGTCGCTAACAGACTTATAAAGTTTTATTCCTATTGATTTTTATTAATTATTTCTCATGGATTTTTATTTTTATATTATTATTATTATTATTTTGCTACCTACATTCCAGAGTCTTCACCAGCGTAAAGAAGTGAAATATATGCATCATCCAAACTCAATATTTAAACTTCCCCGTCTTTAATAAGTTTTTGAACGAATTCACAATGTTAGATCTTGGGAACTTTGCAAAAAGCATATTGGAAACTCTTGAAAAGCATGTTAAATTATAGATAACTGAGCAAATCTAGAAACAAATAAATATAATTTCTAGTTTCATTAGCCTCAAAATTTCCTTATATCTTCTAAATCACCGATATCTTAAAGGTCTGAACTTCCAAGTCTAATCCACAAGCCTCGATAAAAAGAAAATTAGGACTAATATCAAGTTACGTTTTACTACAAATTAAACTACGAGTTCAAATGAAGTTAGGAAGATACAGTTAACAATTAGTGTTAACATTTGGCCAACCCCGCCTCCGAGATTCAGTTTCTTTAAATCAAATGTATGAAAATCAAAGTTGATAGAATCGGAATAAATAAAAAAATACGGAAAACTGAACAAGAACTCCGCTCCATCCCAAGTTTAATAGTACAGTTATAACTCCCATTTTTCTCCTTTCTCTATTTTTTATTTATTATTACTATTATTATTATTTTTGGCACACAGCAAGCTGTTAATAAAAGTAAAATAAAACGATAATTGATAATAGGTTAACAGAAGAGTCTATACCATAGGGTAGATGATCATGAAAGGAGGTGGGAAGCGCGGGAGAAGAGAAATGCAGGCGGCGGATATCGTGGTTTACGACGGACGTAGCAGCGGCGACGACGGCGGAGGTGGGGGTTAAAGCTTGAGATCTTCGGCAAATCGAGCGGCACAACGATCTCATCAATACTAATTTCTCCATTTTTCTTTTCTACTTTATGATCTTCACAGCTGAATCGAAATAGCTTGCTTTTCGATTCAGATTTCGACAGGGCTATCCCAATAATCCCAGTCTTTTCTACTTTCTGCCTACTTTTTCTGGATTATTTTCACTTGTACGCCCTTCTAATTTCCCAATGGAAAATGCAGCATTGGTCCTCAAACTATTTTTAATCCCAACTTTGAAGAAAGAGCAAGTTTTTCCTAATTCTTTTATTAGTAAACTATTTGTAGAATTAGGCTACTTGTCCAGATTCAAAAATAGGGAGGGAAGAAATAGACTGATGTATCAGAAAATGATTAGATGCTTTTGTTTTAATTTTTCAAACTGTCCAATCGTGTATTCCATCTGGACTTGAGATTGGATGCATAGCATGATTGCTATTTGTACATCATGATGTACAAATTGATACACAGAATGATGTGGTAAGAGAGAAAAGAAAAAAAAAAAGGAAGTAAAGAAAAGAAAGTTAGTTAATATAATCCACATAATCAATCTGTACACAATAATGTACAAGTAACACTATTGTTCTTTTATTATTGTTTGCAATTAGTCCCAATGATAATCTTCCATTTGAAAATTCATTAAAATGTAAAGATCGTTTATCAACTCACCTTCAACGGTTAGACCAAGAGACGAGGAATTCAACTAGTCTACTTGATTGTGCTGTCACTCACACATGTTTAAGCGGCAAAAAGAAGAGTTGCTTTATTCCTATCTCTAGGAGTGCAACAGCACAAACCACGATCTATCCAATTTAACTGATCAACAATTTCAAACAATGTATTTGTTGGAAAATATTTAATTTAAGTTTTAAATTTTCAAATTAATAATTTGTTGTTTCTATTTTAATTTCAATTTAATACAAAATTGAATTAATAAAGTGTAACATACATATTATAATTTGTGGTTATAACTTGAAAAAAGTTTCAACTTTCAAATTAAAACTTTTTAATTTTAAGTTTTGACATAAAATTAAAATACCATAATACATATTATAACTTTTGTTTTAATGGTATAAATATGGGGGGTTGAAATTTTATCTACAAA